GTCCATTGCAGGGCAACACAGAGACACACGGGACAAACAATCACACACACACACACACACACACACACACACACACACACACACACAGACCAGACCAATCAACCTAACCGTCATGTTTTTGGACTGTGGGAGGAAGCCGGAGTACCCGGAGAGAACCCACGCATGCACAGGGAGAACAAGCAAACTCCATGCAGAAAGATCCCAGGCTGGGAAGCGAACCCAGAACCTTCTCGCTGCAAGGCTCTAACCACTCTACGCTCTAACCACTGCATCACTGCACAGCCTGACAGCAGTACAACTTAATCAAAAACAAACCACTGAAACACCAACTGGCACATTCATTTAAAGCTTTTTAGGCAGCTTTTCAAATTCAAAGTAGTTAATCTACTAATAACCAACTGAAAGTTTGTCCAAGTACATTTGAAACATTTTATTCACAGTCTTGATGTTGCACAAAACATTGTGCAGTTCAACAATGACTGAGGTTGTATATTACACGTTATGTGAAGTCCGACAGCAGTTAACATGGAGTAATAAACAGGTCTAACCAAGAATAAAAATTAGCTTACTAATCACTTACTAATAAAATTCAGTTGCTTTACTTAGCATTAGTTAGCAGTTAGGCTTCTGACAGCGCTATACAAAAAGAAACCAACTGAAAAACAATCAGGTATAATGTCATAAAAGTACTTTTTTAGTATGCAACATTGAAAACTGCAATAGTTCTTACAACTACGTTCATGTGCAGGACGAATTGTCATTGAGGGCTTATTTTAAAACCATTGTACTGAATTGAAGTGAATGAGTGTTTGTTGGGTGGCGGGAGAAAGCAGTCATGTGTCCTAGTTTTAAATCAGAAATCAAGTCCTTGGTGCTGAAAAGCAAACTGCATGAACATTCAAAAACTGGATGTGGACATCTTGGCCAGGAAGGCTGCTGTAGGTGGTAGAGCAAGAGTTACGCTGGTGGTGGTGCTTGTTGGAGGGACTGCAGGGGCTAGTGCTCAGTAGCCTTGCTTCTGTTCCATGGCAGCTGTGGCCACATTGTAGCTACTCATGAGCAGAGTGTAAATGTATGTGTAAATGGGTTGATGATTGTGTTGTGAGGCGTCTTGGTGAGCTGTAGAACCATAAGAAGGTACAAATACAGGTCAATTACTGTTTACCACTGCTGGGAAGATGCTCTCCTTTATTCTGAAAAACACATGGTCAAACATAGCAAATATTGAGTTTTTTTACACGATGTGTTGTTGTTTCTGGAAATATAAATAAAGTCTCTCTGCCTGGTTTTCTGTTGATTGTTCATTTTTGCTGAGTCTTCAGAGATGCTTCTACATGTCCTAACAGTACCTAGACCTGCTGTGTAAAAGCAACAATTTTGGTTTTAATAGTTTCACTAGGTCAGGCTTCTGGATGAATTTTCTTACATAGGGTTATTAATATTTAATGCCTTTTGATGTACAGCCTCTCTTCACTTTGGATCCACTGTCATTCCAGAAAAGAGAAAAAAAAACAATATTGATAGGAGTTTAAATTATTAGGACAAATAAAATTTGAAACAGAAAAATCACATACCTTTGTAGTTTTTTGTTCTGCTTGGATATAGTCTTCTGTGTCAGAAGGCAGATGCTTCCTCCATGGAATCACTGGATACCAGTAAAGAAGTAAAACTATATACTGTGTTAGCTGTCACAGTGAGCAAGTTAATTACTACAGATGTATGCCTACTCAACAATGACTCAACATAGTGTAGCACCTCTTCCTCTGTCCTGTGGCATTGTGGAAAAAGTGCAATAAGGTATAAGTTGGATAATTTGCAGCATTTGGTAGACACTGTTTTGGTTTAGTACTCAACAACACTGATGTCATCCATTTTTTTCCGAGTTGGCAGCTGGAATGCAAAACGAGCCTGTTACGTAATTTGCTGCTCGGAAATTCTGAGTTCCGAGGACAACTGGAAAGCACGATTAGCTACGCAACACAGACATGAGCTAATGAACACATTAAAAAGGCCCATTTCGTACGCGGCCGAGATCAATACTTAGCTACGCAACACAGACACGAGCTAACGAACACATTAAAAAAAGAGCCGTTTTGTTCACGGCTGAGATCAGTAGTTAATTAAGCAACCGACACATGAGCCAAAGAAAAGATAAAATATGTCTCACGTTGACGAGGCTGACACGTAACTACGTTAAGTAAGCTAGCTGCAAGCATCTCGCCTCGACCACATGTTGCATTGTGGACCACCAACAGAAGCTCATACATCAACCCACACATGAATCACTAGCACACGATCTATACACTGTTCATAGTGAGCATCTCGCACCAACCACGTGTTGCACAAACACTTGCTCATAAAGAAATCCAAACATGACTTCCAACATTAGCTGATAAACTAAGGCAACCAGAGAGTGAAAAGCCGCAATCAGACAGAGCCGCGATCAGACAGAGATGCGCCGAGCTGCGGGAAGGGGAGAACCGGGTGGAAAACTTGGGTCTCCCGAGAGCTCCACAAGCCGATAGTCAGAACCCAGCTCCACCAACATGTTATATTTCAACCCATTTTCTGAAATGCAGCATTATGTTAAATGCACTGGGGTTTACCCTATTACATTTAAATTTCATGGTTAAACAGTACACGTTAAAATCTAAGCTCAGCTCGGCAGTGACCTAAAATACATAAATATAATTTTACTTACCGAAAAAAATGAAGTGGAGACTCCTTGGATGCTCTATTAGTGCAATTGATGCCACAGCAAGTCATTTTGTCCAACAATTGTCCAATATTTATATGTCGATGGTTGTGACGTGTGAAAATCCAACAATGTTTGGGTGACAGTGGTTCAGAGTAGAGTTAGAGCAGGCTTGTAGAAAATAGAGAACAGATATAAAAAAAACTGAAAATGCTGAGAGTCTGTGTAGTTTTGTAATGTTCGGTTGGTGTAAATTAATTGCTTTCTGTACTTTTAAATAGCTCTTTCAACCCACCTACTGCTTTAATTATGCTGTGTCAGCATTGCAAAAAGGCCAACAGAAATTGGCTGTATGTTGCTGCTATGAGAGCATGATCTATCTGTGCTGGGGCCTTTGAACATTGCTCTGTCTGCCATGACTGCCTAAAACATCTACTTCTCCTTTGCACGTTAGGTCAAACTGCAGGATGTAGCAGTATTACACACCTTTCATTATTTTCCCTTTTAATGTTTTCTTCTTCCTTTTGTCAGCTTTCTTTTCAATTCCCCCCTGCCTCTGATTTTTTTTTCTTCCACTGCCTCACCCAGTGTAGTGAAGCCAACAGAGAGAAGAGAGAATGGGGCAGAGCACCTTGTTTTCTGCTTGCTCTGCATTAGGGGAGGGAGAGTGAGGCTGAGGAAAGACTGGAGTGAGAGAGGGATGAACAGAGTGTGAGCACTAGCAGCAGTTAAGCAGAGAGCCTGTGCCAAGAGAAGGAATGCAGCACTGCATTGTGAAAGCCATGGGATGGGTTCCACTGTGTGAAGGATTACGTTTGTTCCAAAAACAAAACGCAGTTTATCACATGCACCGCTTACTATCCTAACAAGTGAAATACTTGTTAAAAAAGGCCTGGAAAGATACTATTGTTGTCTGTAAACAACACCAAAATGCACACAAGATCCAGATCTTGTTTTAGAAGATGACCATTATCCACTCCTATTTTTAGACTGGGATGAATCCCTTTCTGTTAACGGTTCCTCTTGGAGCATTCATCCACATCACCTTGCATACAAAACTGATTTTTTAGTGGGGGAGGGGGGGGGGGAGTGACTATTAGGTCAGCCTGAGGCCAGACAGTGCTCAGTACACCTGTTTCTGGACTAATGGGGCTCCTGCCTTAGGGTGAAGATCTGTTCTGCTATCTAGATCACACACCTGATTTTGGCAGGCTGCGCAGTGGTTAGAGCTGTTGCCTTGTAGCAAGAAAGTCCTGGGTTCGCTTCCCGGCCTGGGATCTTTCTGCATGGAGTTTGCATGTTCTCCCTGTGAATGCGTGGGTTCTCTCCGGGTACTCCGGCTTCCTCCCACAGTCCAAAAACATGACTGTTAGGTTGATTGGTCTGTCCAAATTGTCCCTAGGTGTGAGAGTGTGTGTGCATGATTGTTTGTCCTGTGTGTCTCTGTGTTGCCCTGCGATGGACTGTCTGTCCAGAGTGTACCCTGGCTAACTGCCCATTGACCGCTGGAGATAGGCACCAGCCCCCCCGCGACTCTGCGTGGACATGCGGGTTCAGAAAATGGATGGATGATTTTGGCCATTTTATTTAAGTTATTCTGCCAAATATTTTTATGAAATGCTGAATTGCAGACATCATTTAGTTTAATGTGTCTTGTAGCATATTTTAATGTATAGAGATGGCAAAGGTGGTGCTCTTCTGTAAAAAATATTGTTTAAATATTAACAGTAATAAAAGTGAAACTCGAAAAATTTGAATATTATACAAAAGTTCATTTATATCAGTAAAGCAAAATGGGCCTAAACCAAGTATACTGAGTACATATGCATTATACTTTTTAAGAGGTCTGACATTTATTTAATTAAAATCCTTTTTTCATTGATTTCATGTAAAATTATTATTGTGTGGGGGTTTGGATTTTGAGGGGTTTTTGTAAACTGTAAGCCATTTTCATCACAATTATAACAAATAAAGGCTTGAATTGCCTGGCTTTGCACAGAATGAGTCTGTCTCAGATTAGTTTCACCTTTAGGCTGAATTTGTGAAATAAATAAACTTTTGCACAAGATTCTCATTTCTCCAGTTTTTGGGACTAACATCAGTCTTTGCTTTAAGCAAAACCTGACATTAAAGACAACAAGAAGAAAAGCACTCAGCCCAAGAAACAATAGGCCCTTAGATAATGTCAGGCGGGCTCCATCTTTATCAAAACCGCCTTGTGGCACACAACAAAGTAGTGTTTGACCAATTTGAATTGTACTGCAGTACTAATAATCCCTGTTAAATGTTCCTCCTCTCCATTCAGGAGGGTCTTGAGCTGATCCAGGAGAAGCCGGAGCTGCGCCCCGTTGTGCAGCAGAAGTTGGAGGAGATTAGGGAGTGCTGGTCTGACCTGGAGAATGCAACTAAGGCAAAAGCTCGCCAGCTCTTTGAAAACAACAAGCCTGAGCCAGCGGTGAAGAGCTACTCGGACCTCGACAGTCAGCTGTCCCACCTGGAGCAGCAGCCCCCCCAGCTGGAACAAGCACACCACCTACCCACCTTCAATGAGCAGCTCCAGAAATTCCAGGCAAGTCGGAATGCCCTGGTTCTGATCAGTCAGCAGTGGTTTTACTCGGTACACCTTTCAGAGTTTCTGCTCAGAATGAGGTAATAAATGTTTTATTGAAAAGGCTCCTGTTCGCTGTTTAACAAAAGGATAAAAAAAAATTCTCTACAGTGGTCTGCTCTGAACACGTTTTTATGTTAAGAGCAAGTTCACTGACATACCATTTTTACTTATTATTTTTGAAAATGACAACTCTCTGAGCCCTTAAGGACCCAAGCCCTTTTTAAATAAAACAGATTTGAATAAATACACACTGAAATTAATTAAATTAATTAATTAATTAATTAATTTTCAATATATGTATATAAAGGATGTCATTTTGAGTTGTCAAACTTGAGGATATGACTCTGGAAGCAAATTTGCAGATGTTTGAAATGGGATGTTACACCCGTGTCACCACAAGTCCTTAAGGGTTAACATGCAGGCCTTCCAGCTCAGTGATAAAATGATCAGATTCTGCCAACAAAATGACTCTAAAAACAAATATGAATTGTTGCACATTTATACAGTGTTTGCAAAAACTTCAGCACTGCGCCTGCCAAAATCACAGATGTGTGTGAACCATGTGTGACAACATGCTGCAGATTTAAACAGAAGGTATTGCAGTGATCTCTGATGTTTCCATATATTACATGTTTAATTCATTTTGTAACATTCAGTGTAAATCTTTGCAAAATGCAAAATATTTCCTACCATGAGTTTTAGTTCAGAATAATTTAATAAACCAACAGAATTGATCAGATAAACATTGGGGATCATCATAGTTATTAGGAATTACCATCAGACCCAGGACAACGTCTGAAAAGTATTGACATGATCTGTAGGGGTTATTGTTATGTGCTGCTGTTGCACTGATACTGTAGCAGCTCTTCATTCAGATTTAAAAAGACAGTACCAAAAGGAGAGGGATCTGTAGAGAAACAATTATTAGGAAATCAGACCCAAGAACTGCAGTTCCTCAGTATTTGGACCACAACTGAATGATTTAGATGAAAAAAGGAAGAGTTTAAAGGCATGATATGTCTGTTCTAACATAAAATTCTGGGTCACATGAATGTATTTGTTTTGTCCCATGAGCAGGACGTTGGAATGCTAAAGGGTTGAGATGCGTTGGGGATTAAATATTTTAGAGCGTTTGTGAGGGTGGGAGCATCAGAGATGCAGCATTATTACTGCTGTTTGTTAGATTACTTTAATAAACCACCGTTAAGAGCAAAGTATAATTGTTCTGCTGCTTTAGCGCTTTAACAATGGTATATTAATGAGAATTAATCTTACCTCACGGTACTACAGCATCCTTAGTGCCTTCGGTGCTCGGATAAAAAAAAATGCAGCTGTGAATTCAGAGATGATCTTCTATGGATCAATGAAAAAAAAAGGTCCACCGTGGACTCTGTGGAAACTTTCAGACAATCTGCAGGCCGTGGCTTGCTAGAGGTTTTTGTTATGGACAAAATTTTGCTAATTTGAAAAGTGATGGTCGGCCAGTTTGTCAAGTGATTGTCATGTCATGTCTGACAGTATATACATATATTACATGTCAATAATGTCCTGGGTGAAAACTTGGATATATCATCAACTTATGAAACATTTAAAATTCATGGGCACACCTATCTTGGCTCATGTCGGGAAAGGCTGTTGTTGGTTTAGCATCCAGGAAACAGCAGAGAACGGCTTGGCTAGTAGAAGCTAACCGTTAGCATTAGCAACTCCATTTTAAGTGTCTAATGCCCAGAACACACCAGTTGCGAAATGCCGTGATGTGGATCGCTCACGAAATTCGTGCGCTGTCCGCTCCTCCTCTGTTCACATCAGGAGAGAATTTTCAATTAGCGCTTCTGCTCACTCGTACTGTTTTTTTAAACCCCCACGTGCCCTTGTGTGTGTGTGTGTGTGTGTGTGTGTGTGTGTGTGTGTTCATTTTTATCTCTCTAGTCTGTTTAGATACACAAAAATGATCACATTTATCAATTGCGGTGTTTTATTTTGAAAATTTATTTTATTTTGTTCAATTTCCAGTCTGCCTCTTCTGCTTTGGTTTGACTTCCTGCCAGATTTGTCGCAGCTCACTCATGGCTCATGAAAAAATAGAGTCCATGCCGGAACGATCGCTGCACAGCGCAAGCATTCGTGACACTTCGCAGCTGATGTGACCGAGAGTGTAGGTTAACAAGGGCGCCCATTAGAAGCGCTCGTTGCTCCAGGGCGCTTTGTCGCGCTTCTGCGTGAAGCTGCTGTTTTTAGTTTGTAGTTTTCACAGCGTTTAATAAATAAAGCAAAGCACTTGTCTTGAGGAAGCGAAGCCAGCTATGTCATTTTGGAGGTAAATCCACCAAATGGCAGAACTCCTCCATGCTTGTGATATTTGTGGGGATAAAACATCAACATTACAAAATCATAGGGTCGTGTTGCTGTTACCCAATCAGACAGCTTCCTGACTTTCTGCTCTCCTCTGGTGCAGGCTATGGAGTCTCAGATTGGTGACTTTTACAAAGATGTGGGAGAGCTGGGAGGGCTGCAGGGGCTCAGTCTGCCCCAGCAAGGCCTGATGGCTGGTGACAAGGAGGCTGCAGAGCAGTCGGGTGAGGTGGAGACCCGAATTGTCCGCCTAATCGAGCCCCTGAAGGAGAGACGTCGCATCCTGCTGGCCTCCAAGGAGATGCACCAGGTTGCCCAAGATCTAGAAGATGAAATTGTGAGTTTATTATTATTCATATTGTATTTGCAGGATTATTAACAGCAAAGAATTGGGTTGCGTCATTTCATGTAGAAAAAACCTTATCAGTGGTCACAACCGCCACATGACATCAGTGGTGATAAACTATTAAATTAACTGGCTCTCAAGAATGTATCACAACATCTGGAGTACTTTTTTGCTAAAAGATATTCAAATAAACTAGAAGACAATACAAATGTAAACCTCTCATATTTCCTGGCTAAATTATTATCCATAGCAACATTGATTTAGATTAGATGCATTTGAAAACATCTGATTTAAGTTAAGTGGACCTACAAGCTTTGAATACCACAGAAGTCAATTTCACCCGGCAACCAGGCCGAACCAACTTTGCCGTTCCCTGGATCGCCGAGAACATTCATCACATGGTTCGTAGACTGTGCACAGTGGCGTTGGATGGTTATTATTAATTTGATGAGTTGTCAAACCACATTAAACATTCAGCTAAATTTATTTTATAAACCCAGACATCACATCTTTCTGATTAACTTTATTAAGCTCTTAAAACATACGTCACATTTCATCAGAGTTCATTCATTGTTTCCCTTTGAATCACCATTTATAATCATTTGCCTTGCATCATCATTGACAATAGAAATAAAGTATAGATTTTTATAAACTATGTTTTTTGTCTCTGTTTCAAATTATTATAAAGTGTTGTTTCCCTGGCATACCCAAATTACCTAGTTTCATCATCAATCGAAGGTTCAATAATAATGATAATCCACATTTTAATGGAATATTACATTTTATTGAATACCTTTATATTCTTTTGACAATAGTTTTATTTTTTCGCCCCTACAATTTTGGTCTCTTGTGAATCTTTTTTCCAGATTATTTTACCATCATGCTACGTTACAGTTGCTTGATTTCTTCATATTAAAACTAAGGTAACCAAAATTAATAAATCTTAATGAACAATGGTTTAGTAGTTTTTAGGTCATTATTTAATGACTAGACATAACAATAATTTTGTATTTAGCTGGTCAGGTCCAAGAACCTGAGGATGACCTGTTCCCTTTAGAGAGTTGTGGGTTTTATTCAGTTACCTGTAACAACATGTATAATACAACTATTCGGTCAGAGAACAACCTGAACACACCTGCTGTCTCTTCTCCATCAGACCTCCATGGGGTATAGTTATAGTTGAACTTCTTACCATTTCAACTCTTACCATTACTTCTGACCATTTCATGGATTTGAATCCTCCTATGGTGCGTTTGATTTGTACTTGGAACTCTGAAATCCCAACTTCAGAGTAGGAAGATTAAAATGACATGCCCCCCAAAGTTGGACCTCCAAGTCAGAAACTTGGCAGAATTTCACAACTCCGACCTCGACATCCAAAATGGCAGCTCTCCGTATCAACAACCAGTGTTGGGCAAGTTGCTTCAGAACTGTAATGCATTATTTATTACTTGTTACCCTCATTTTAAAGAAATGAATTACATTACAATATTGCTGATTTTAAAATGTAAGGCATTACACTACTTTTGCATTACTTTGTTACTTTCACTAAAACAACTTCAATATGAATTTGGTAATCTCACGCTCATTGAGCTCATGACATATATGTGGAAAGTGATCGAAGCTAGGATTGCTGTTAAAAACAGTCAGATGTAACAACAGTTCTGTAAAATGATTGTTTATTAAATAAATGCAACAACAAACTGTACACAGTAAAAAAATCCTGTGTCAATTTAACTCTAAGAGAGTTGAATTTAACTCCGTGTCAGATAACATTTGGTCCCACTCGAAAATAGAGTAAAATTTACTCTTTTATCAGTGTTACATTTTCAGTGTTAATTTTACTCAAATTTGTGTTAAAATTAACACTGCAATGTGTTGAAATAATTAACACTGTGGTTTATGAACACTTTTCAGAGTAAAATATTACACTTTGAAGAGTTAATTTAACTCCAAAATTAGATATAAAAAACAGTCTTTAGTGTCAAATTTAATTTCTCTATAGTGTTGATTTTTATTTCTCCAGTGTTGTTTTAAATATCTAGTTCATGTAGATCTATCAAATAAAAATAATCTCAGACAAAAGGTAACTTTGACAGCATTTATTCACAATGCAAAGATACTTTACATTCTCAAATGTATAAACAGTTGTAATAGTTGCATAAAAAGTTGGACATTGAAAGCTACTGTCCATAATCACATTACTATTTGTAATCAAACATTTTTGAATAATGCAATCACCACAGAAAACAATATGGAACAACAAGGAGAAGTGAGTCATTCACTCCATATGACATTTGTATATCAAAAGGCCTGGGATACAGCAGGTGGTCAGCATGAAACAAAACCAAATCTTGTGTTGTCCTGGCCACTTCATATGCATGGACATGTTCCTGAAAGCTAACTGTGCATAAAGGCACAGTTAGCAGAAACAGTTTCTCATGTATTATCAGAACTGACTCAATCTGATAAAATATCGGCATTTCAAAATCAACTTTGCCACAAATAACCAGATGAGGGCGGTAAATAAAGCCATTGTGTTTTGCCCAGTTGACTTTCATAACTTGAATACCATGTGGCACTTGCATTGACATGGCAATAACAGAGCCTCCTTTTATCATTTTCAAAGACACCATTTTCCCTGGACCAATGTCTAAACGATTAAAAGTAGAAGAAGATTGCCAAATGTATGCCATATGTCTCTGGTGTTTTTTGGCTAGAGTTTTGGTGATATTTTTAAATGATTTAAGCTGTTTTTTGAAAAAATTGTGCTTACCTTCATAGCGCATGCACCAAGTATGAAGTACAGGTCCGATTTTCTGAATACAACGTGGATAATGGATGAGGAAATGGTGCTTTGGTAAAAGTTTCTTATGTGGATACAAATTCTTGAACAGTTTGTGGTGATCCACAATCAAATGTTTCAAATATACACAAAGTCCTTGTGACAACTTAGGAGACAATACAATGTTGACTATTTGAAGTAATAAAAGAAGTAGATCCCAATGTCGATCAGTGGAGGTTATCAAATTTCCAAAAATGAGAGGAACATTCCTTAGCAAGCACCACGACTGAATTGCATTCAGTCCCAAATCATTAGACTCCTCACTTAAATTCACTGCAACTGGCCGATTGTTTCTTTCCATGAATCCATAATCAAAATTCAGTATTCTCAAATTCAGCTCTCTCAGTGTGATATAATGTCCTTTAAAATGCTGAAACAAAAGCTTTAGTTCGTACTGGGCCACCCCTTCTAAAATGTCATGCATCACATCAACTGCAAAGTTCTCAGATGTATGAAAATAAGTCAGTGAATTTAGTGCGCATGAACTCTTTACACCAAAAACATAAGGAAGAGAGGGATAACCAGCCATCTCTTGACAGTGGGCAGTGTGGGTGTCTTTGGTGCGCAATATTATTTTTGGAGAATCTTCAGAAAATTCTGTTTGAAAGTCATCTTTTTCGGCTAAACAAAACCTGCAACAGTACCTTGCACTAAAAGACTCCACCAAACCAAACAGGCTATGCAAGGCTAAATTATCACCAGTAACCTGTACCAAACTGCCACGAACACAACCACCATACAGTGGAATAACAATGCCATCACTTTCCAACACTTTAATGTCTCGAACAACAGGAGCAAGGATTTCATTAAAACCATATCGTTTAAGATCTTGTGCATGAAACAAAGCACAGAGGTGTATGTTGGCCAAGACGGAATTCCATTTTGGAGAAAAATTTCTTAAAGTAAAATATATTGCACCCATTTTGTGAATACCTCGCTTGGAACCAAGAGGATTTGCAACCTCAAAATCGTCATAAAACATTTGTATCTGTACTGTATGTTTTTCAGTTGAAAACAGAGGATGAGTTTTGAAAAAAGAACCATCACTAATATCTCTGAGTGTTGAGTCATTAGTGTCTAAGCTTATCAACATTTCTGCAGCATACTGACTATTGAATACTGATTGCAGTGTAGATAAAATTGGAATGTACATGAATTTATCTTTAACTACTATCTGATCATATGTTCCAGTGCTTTTATTTCGCCTTGTGTCAAATCTGGAGCCAATTACGTATTCAAGTGGTTCTACAATTTCCCTTTTTTCTGATAAAAATTTTGATCGCTTGTATTCTGAATTAAGAATTGAAAAAGGATTATCTAAGTCGTCAAAACAAGCTTCAACTTTTTTGCAAACTTCTGTTTCTCTTTCATCATTAAATACATGTCTAATGACAGTTTCTTTTGCATGCTGCTGAACATCTTTAACTATCTCTTCCATGGAACCAACAACAGAGTTCACAATGCTTTGGCCTAAACCTGCAGCCTGTAGATCGGAAATTACACTTGCACAACTATTTACAAGGTTAGCTGAAGATAAACCTGACTCGGTCTCTAAACATTTAGATACTTGAAAATCAGTGGAATTACTTGTGTTAGGAACACTTTGACAAGATGAAACATTGGGTTCTTCAACTGAATTAAATGAATTGTCAACATGACACTTGTTTAGATGCTTTCTAAAACCAGAAAAACTACCAAAAGAACGTGAGCATCCCATTTGGCCACATTTAAGATAAAGAGTCCTGCCAGTGCAGAGACCATGGATTACTTTAAGGTGCTTAATAAGGCTGTTTGGTGTACCACGGTCCCTTTTGCAAAGAAAACACTTCATTGTTATGGCTCACCCGATTCTAGCGCAGCATTCTTGCTCGCAACTCTGCAACTCTGGGAGTTTGTTTTGTTTCTGCTACATCGATGTTGTAAACGGTTGTTTGGAGAAAAGTGAAAAAGTTGGTCAGGGCATGACTGTATGACATACCGAATACATAATGAGCTTTAAAGAGTTCATCAAGAGCTCCCACTGAACCAGTTGCCTTGCATGGAAGTGCATGCTTGTCGATCACAATGAAGAAGGTGTGGATCCTGCTTCTTGTAGTTCCCTGAGCAAGAAGGTAGGGCTGGCAGCTTTGGCTAATATGGTCTAGATGCTGTTGTACACTGGTTCCAGCCTAAGACAGAAAAATAATAGTATTTAGTGTCAAGACTGACAATAGATAAGGTAACTTCAAACTGGGCATTAAAGTGAGGTGATGGGAAGTATATTTTAAAAAAGCGCCCAGCATACCTTTAGGAATCTGATGAGGTGATCTGCAGCTTGAGATGCAGACATCTTTCCTGGCCTCTTTCGTCCTTGTGCAGAAGGTGGTAGCAGATGTAGCAGCAGCAAGATTGCAGACATGTCACTGTCCCAGCCTGTAAAAAAAGACATGCATCTGATTAACAAAATGTTACAAATAAATTAAATTGTCATAATTACCTTTATTACACACATACCATTTTCATCTTCAGCTGCTGACTCAGTGTTGTGCAGCAAGTGTAAGAGTTCTGGAGTGGGTACCAGTCTATGGCTTTCCACGATAACCTTCTCTTTAATAGAGGTGGGCCACTTCACCAAGAATTTGTTGGCAGTTTCCTCACCAAACAGAAGTCTGAAATCTTGTTCTATCTGCATTGCAAAAATAAAGGACAAAATAAATAAATAAAACCACTATTGGTGACACTTCATAATGTCCAGGATATTTCTGTAACAAAAACAATGTTTTACCAGTCCCGGTGTGTCCAAAAACCGTGGAAAGACTGAGAAGACATCTGTTGTCTTGTCATCGTTGACCAGTGAATTGCGATATGCAAATGTGGCTCTCATCTTCTCACGAATAGTGTCCTCATCAGCAGTGTGTTTCAAAACAGCAAGAGCTGCTTCCACATCCTCATTAGACTGCATTTTGTCAGCAGCTAAGTTGGATTGTCCATGGCCTGGCCCACCAACTTCAGAAAAAAATAAATACATGAGCTTGTGCCCACACATTTGACATTTTATTGCCATCATACTATAACTGATTTGTAAACTTACTTTTGGTAGATTTCCTTACTGATGCACCCTTCTCCTCAGCAGCTTTTCTTTGAATGGTCTTCAAGCGCCATGCAAGGTATCCTGACCCACTCTCTGGATCGTAATAGTGTTCCTATATAATAAAACACAAAGATACAGAATATGTTATCAGTATTTATACCATCAATATTTAGCTTAATGTTGTTACGACCATTTTGCTTACATATCCATGTTTTGAAAGGGGGTCTTCCAGATATGGAAACAAGGCAACAATTCCTTGTGCATACATCACTCTGACAGTTCGAGGGGGAGATGTTCTGATAAATAAGCACAATGATGACTGTCACACATTTGATATCAAAATAAATATAGTAAATATGCTATTTTTAGCCTATATAAATTTACCCATGCTTTTCTGTCATCTCAGCAGCTAGAATGTTTATCATCTGTCTTCTGGTGGCATCTGTCAAAGATTTGGTTTTTGCGTACTCCTGCATGATGCGTTCACCACCAGGCTTTGTAGTTAGGATCTGTTTAATCAACTTAAAATGAAATGAAGAATGTAGTCATCAAAAACTGAGGTACACATATGAGTGTTAGATTTAACAGTAATGAATATTACTCACTGCCAGTGCCTCGTAGTTTATGTGACATGGCTTTTTAGGCTGATTTCCTCCATCAGTTGCTGAATCTTCAGCAGGATCACACATGGTGAAGTTCAGAATAATAGTATCATCAGAAGATGCTGAAGATGATGTAGCCAATGGTGATAGAGAAGAACCTACACAAAGTGGAAAAAAAAACAACAACAAAAAAATACAAAGACAAAAGTATATTAAATGTAACTGTGATGCTCCAATCCAAACCTTTAGGTTAAAAATGAACACGACTTTAAATAGTCCTTACCAAGTTCTTCATTACTCATCGTGACTCGAAATGTGCCTGGGGACTCCTTCACTATTTCCTCAAAAACCTCAGCATCAATTTGGGTGTCAGACTGGTCATACACCTTCAGATCGAACAGTTTTTCTCCTGGTATGTCAAATTTTAAACACACTAAATAAGAGAAACAAAGGGTAAAGTCTGATGTTATTTACCAACTGCTGACAGGTTAAAAATCAGGTGAATAGGTCAATATAGTTGATTTTAATTAACAGCAGGGAAAATGATCAACTTCAGCAGTTCACACAATGTCTTATGATAAATTGTATAGATTCACCAAGTAAAATACTGTAATATTGTTTTATACTAACCTTCTTTCAGGAAGGCATCAAGTGTTAGGTCAGACAGTCTTACATACTTCTGCTCCCCACTAAATGAAACACGCAGCAGCATTTTCCTGTTAAAACAAAAGTAAAAAAAAAACAAACATTAATTTCCCCTAATAGTGTATAGTGCTTTAGATGAGATGCTTTATTTTAGAAAAAATAAATATACAAAGATAATTTCTATATCAATAATTAGATAAATGCTCCAGTAATAACAAAAGAAAAACATCAAGTCAGCTGCTGCAGCCTGAAATCTTAATTGTGTCTGATGCTCGTTTGTGATAGTGGTTAAACTGGTCGACTGTTGCCTTAAGTCATCTAATAGCCACACACGACTCAATCCAGGATAGAAGGTTTATTCGGGTTCTGGTACATTTTGTCTTTGTGACTGGACTTAGCTTTGTTAGCCATTCCAGGATGCCTGCATCCTTGTGTGAGCTATGTGTATCACACAAACAACGAGCAAAAATAGAGGTTCAGATATGGGGTTCCCAATTTGTCACATACGGTAAGATTTTTATAGGCGATGTAGGCATCAAAACTTTATAAATGCACTTATTTTATTGATGATGACAGTACTTTAAAAATACGTTTCGGCGTTTAAGAAGTTAAAATTCGACAAATAAATGGCTGTGTCGCAAGCAGGACGATGCGCACTTTACCCCGAGCACAGCCACACATCGACTACTCGGCTCGCTTTGTAGGCGTCTGCTGTAACGTAACTTCTTTCTGTTAATTAGTGTCACAATTTTACAACACACAAACTGTTGCACAAGCACAATGGGCAAAACAAATAGTTATTATACATCATACTTTGGTAATGATCTTCTGTAAGAAAAACTAGCATTATTTAAGCGGACATTGCTACTTGCCGAGGAGGGCCCGACAGACTTCCATCAGGTGGTAAGGCCTGCTAGCTTCTATGCTAGCGGTGCTGCGCTGCTACTCGGAAAACTAACTCGAACGATGCGGTCCAACGGTTCCATGTGCTCTGATAGGAGTATGATAGCTTTATCGCAAGTAAGCTAGCAACAAGGTTAGCTAAGAATGCTAACAATGGTGGGTCATATTATATATTTAATTTGACCTAACACTTATTTAATTGTTTAAACTGGTACAGATCATCGACATATAAATATGGTACAGATAAATGTTGCACGTCACAATATTCAGACACAGATAAGTTCAGTATAATGCTAAATTGCTAATATTTCAAAATTTAAAAGTTACTAGAACTTCACCACAAATACCTGCCTTTATTTGGAGCGACTTCTAATGTTACACATATTTTACCTACAGTTTTTTTAACTCCATTAACAACAAAATTAATAAATAAGTCTAACTTATTGTATGGTGACTCGTCTCTGTCCCAGTGACCACATTTGACTAAAGCAGCAGTCTGCAGTGTCCTTACTCCTTAATGACAATAGTTACATTACAAAACCTTAACTTGAACAATAATTTCAAAACCACATTAGTAATTTAGAAATGCTAAAATTGACTTACCTGACTGGCACCATGCACTCCAGAGCAAGTCCAGACTGGTTCAGACAAGCACCAAGCAGCTTTTAATGACTCTTTGGAAATAGGCGGGTAAATGAAATAAACTCTCTGTAGAGTAGAAATTAACTCTGCATGTCTGCAGATTTTAACACCGAATTTTAACTCTACAGTTTGAGTTGATTTACTCTTCAAATAGTTGTAAATACTCTATCTAGGTTAAAATTATTTTACACTGTGATTTTAACACCCAATGTTTTACTGTGTACTCTCAGCATGCTGCCATCTTAGATTAACTGAGCGGGGAGTGAGGTGGTGGGGGCTCCAAGCCTATGTTGCCTTGGTCCCCAAATGCCTTGATACGGCCATGGATGTGGGACTGAATTCTGGGGTGATCTGATTCTATCACATGTATAAATATTAAATGCTTATATATTATTGCTTTTCACTAAAATGTCTATTGGGGATAAATCTACCTACTTTTTTTTTCTTTTCAAGAACTGTGTTTTGTTTTCTTGTTTTTATTTGAATAATTTCCTGCCCTTTCTCTCTCTAAACTTCCTGCATGCTGCATATTTTCTCTGTATTCCAGAAAAACTGTTTCCTAGATTTCCTGCTTTCTAACTAATCAGCCAAAGGGATCTACCGAATGCAAAAAACTTAATATGCTCTGTGCTCCAGCAGCAATGAGTTGAAATCAGATTGTGAACTACGCTGAGACAAAGCACGTCAGAAAAGTACATAAAGTACCAGAGAATATGAGCTGATGTTTTTGGGCTTCCCTGCAAAATGAATATTGAAGAAACTCACATTTTGATTCTGGGTTTAAAAATGCATTGTAATTACAGCGTTACTGACAATTGTACCGAGTAAATATTACCATTTTCTTTCCCTGTAATGCCTTACATTACCACATTACAGCAAAAAGCAATGCATTACAGTCATTAATTACTTTTGTACCGTGGTCCTCCCAACGCTGTCAACAACAGAAACTTTTAGGTGAAATGAGTTTATTTTACAAACCACACTTATAAGAGCGCGTTTAAAACCAATGTTACAAGTAGCACTTGTAACTCTAAGCTGAACATACTAAAAGTTTTAATTACATGTTGAATGTACAGCTAAAAACTACGTTATTAAGAGGAATCTACAAACAATGGCTACTTGGGAGGTGTGCGTTGCCATATTGGAATCCTGACTTCTCCTACTACGGTAACCAGAACGCAGTGAAGAGACAAATGTGTAAAACAACAACATGTATTAATGATGAAAGTTTTGTAACCATTCGTTACAAATCAGTAGAGGTGTTTTGTCCTCATGGCCTTCCATAGAAGGAAACATGGCATCCAATATGGTGTCGCCCAGAGACTTAGACCCGCTTCCATGTATTTCAGAACAGATTTTTATGGTTTTATGTTATACAACTGCCAATATTTTTCAACACCTGGGCATCTTTTCATTCATTTACAACAACATTTTTATGGATGTTTCCAGAGATCCATGGTAAAAACTACACACTGTCACTTTAAGGAGCCCAGCAGTGATAGATTTGACCAAAACTAAAAATATGTCTAATCTATATGTAGATGTCTTTAATGTGCATCTATGAAATGCTGTTTTTGCTTAAGCTGTGGATCCAGGAGAGACTTCCTTTGGCCTCCTGTAAGGACTATGGAAACAACCTCCAGAGTGCGCAGCAGCATCTTAAAAAGAACCAGGTAAGTGCCGTGGATGACATCAGGCTCAGGCTGCCCTCAGTCCTGAAACTTAACTCTGTTCTACAGACACTCCAAAGGGAGCTGATGGGGCGGCAGACTCGAATTGAGGAGGTTTTAGACCGGGCTGGAATCATTGCCTCTCTTAGAACTCCTGAGGTGAACTTTGTGCGTGAAGGGGCGGGGCATGTACGCCAGCTGTGGGAGGTTTTACAGCTGGAGACAGAAAGGCGATCTGTGTTGCTGGATGCTGCTCTACAGTCTCAGCAGTACTACAGTGAGGCAGCAAAAGTGGAGTCCTGGCTGTCAGGGCAGAAACTTCACGTTGCCAGTGAAGAAAAAGGCACAGTACGTACAGCTCCCATACCCACACAAGTAGTTTAGTGTAAGACAAGTTTACTGTGATATTCCTGAATCCTTACTTCCTTTTAGGATGAGGTGAGCACCCTGCAGTTGCTGAAGGCCCACCTGGCTCTAGAACAAACAGTGGAAACCTATGCAGAGACTGTAGGCATGCTATCCCAGCAATGCCAGCGTTTATTAGAACTAGGACACCCAGAGAGGTGGGCCTTGAAAATTACAGTTTTATTTTTGTGGATTCTATGTACTGAATCAAATAAAAATGGCCTTCTCATTTTCTTTTTCCTGTGGTCCTTTTTCCTTTAACTTTCAACAGTGAGCAGATTACAAAGCAGCAGTCCCACATAGACCGGCTGTATGTGTCCCTTAAAGACATGGTGGAGAACAGGAAGACCAAGCTGGAGCAGCAGTACTGGCTCTATCAGCTGAACAAGGAGGTGGAGGAGTTGGAGAAGTGGATCACTGATCATGAGGTGGTTGCAACTTCCACCGACCTGGGCCAAGACCTTGAGGATGTAACGGTTAGTGCACCATCATGATTCGGTTTTAGCCAAAGAAATGTACGAGCCAGTACTTACAACCATGATCCTTCTACTTTCATTTCAGTACAGACAATGTGTACCAAAAATTGTTTGTGTATCTTTAATATTTTTACCATAAGTGTGTTTAGTCCACACGTTCTCTATTGGCTGACCAGTGTTCTCTTCTAAAGTCATCGTTTGAATGGGTAGGGTCACGTCTACAAGTTGATTCTTTGCATTTTACATGTTTCAGGTGCTTCAGGAGAAGTTCACCAAGTTTGCCTCAGAAACCTTCAGCATTGGCGAGCAGCGTATGGAGCAGGTGAACAAAATGGTTAATGAGATGATTGACTGTGGTCACTCAGATGCAGCCACCATTGCTGAGTGGAAGGATGGTCTGAATGAGTCATGGGCTGACCTCCTAGAGCTTATGGAGACACGCAGGCAGATGCTGGCAGCATCACACCAACTGCACAAGTTCTTCACAGACTGCAAAGAGGTAAAGTCAGAAAAACTAGGAGTGTCAGGTGTGCCATGTCAACTGCACTTCAGATAGGCAGTCTGGCTATGATGCGAGGATTCTATTTTTAAAACAGACATGATGACAATATGATTTCCTGTGATGTAGGTCTTGGCTCAGATAGCAGGGAAGATGAAGCAGCTGCCAGAGGTGAGGGCGTGCCAGGCCAACATCACAAATCCAGCAACCCTGCAGAGACTCATGCACTCCTTTGAACATGCCCTTCAACTGCTAGTTGCACAGGCAAGTAAAGTGGACTGTCAGTGCAATGTACAAGCTGTTAGATTGTGTGTGTGTGTGTGTGTGTGTGTGTGTGTGTGTGTGTGTGTGTGTGTGTGTGTGTGTGTGTGTGTGTGTGTGTGTGTGTGTGTGTGTTTCCCAATAGGTGCGGAGATTCTTTCTGGACACTTGTATTTTCTTGCACAGTTCAAATTCATGAGCCCTGTCTTTGTATCAGTGTCTTGTCGGTCCATTGTTTGTGTCAGCGTTGTTTTGTGCTCTAAGTGAGCTTTTGTTCTAGTCTCTTGGTTTGTGCTTTATGTTGAGCTTTCATCCTCCTGGTATTCAGGACCTTGGTTTTTGGCTTCCTGCCATTTTGGATTTTTGGCTCCTCATCCTAATAAAAGGATTTACTTTTAAAACTCTCCTGCCTCGTGTCATCTGGGGTAATATGCATCTTGGGTCCTAACTTCCTACTAACTCGCAACGTGACAGCAATTATGGTTTTTGAACTAATAGGGAACCTAACCCCAGCTACATACTGGAAGCATCAGCGGTGCGGAACAGCAGCGGAACGGTTTAAGCCTAACGGAATGGTTTAAGCCTAACTTATACTACTCCGTCAGTTCCACGAGGGAGAGACACGGACGGAAGTATAAATTAGGCTTTACTTGTAACAATCACAGCACTCCATTGCACACCCGGAGAGCCTCATCAGCAAAGCGACTTCTTTGTTGTGCTCCTCGTTTGACTGGCAGGATCGCAATATCCCTCGAGACTTCAAAGGTTATGGTTTGTTTATGCAATCTGTCATTAAACCAAAAAGAAGGAAATAGTATTTGACATCACTGTTTGATGTCATATATGATGTCCCTCTACACTGCCAGGATTAAAGCCATTAAAAACACACCAATGTTCTTCTGGAAAGACGCAGGGAGGAAACAAGCCATTGGGTCACACATAAACTTCATATTTATGAAATTGCATTGCTGCAATACTTTTATTTTTCAATTCATTTCAGTTCAGTTTATTTATAAAACGCCAAATCACGACAAGAGTCATCTCAAGGACCTTCACATAATAAACATTCCAATACAGGTCAGGTCATTAAGCCAATCAGTAAAAAGTTTCCTATATAAGGAACCCAGCAAATTGCATCAAGTCACTGACTAGGGTCAGTGACTTTACAGCAATCCTCATACTAAGCAAGCATTTAGTGACAGTAGAGAGGAAAACTCCCTTTTAACAGGACGAAACCTCCAGAGGATCCTGGCTCAGTAAAAGCAGCCATCCGCCACGACTCACTGGGGATGGAGAAGACAGAGCAGAGACACACACACACTTCACTTAACACACACACAGTAGTGATCTATGGCTACATTGTGATTTCTTAGTAAATTTTTGTTTTAGTGAGAGATAAACTTTATTATACACTCATCTTTGCCTTTATAACCTCTAGACTGGACTATTGTAACAGCATTCTTTACGCACTTCCTTCATCTGCCCTACAAAAACTGCAATACATCCAAAACTCAGCAGTATGTTTGCTCACCCACACCCACTCCAGGGACCACATAACTCCAGTACTCAAACAAATCCACTGGCTCCCTGTTCCATACCGGACCCATTTCAAATAGTTCCTCATCACCTATAAATGCCTCACTAACCTTGCGCCATCCTATCTGACGGAACTTCTCCATCGCTATTCTCCTATCCGGCACCTTTGTTCTGCTGGCTCTAACCTCCTTTCCCCTTTCAAAACAGCACACCCCACCATGGGGTATCGAGCCTTTGCAGCCGCTGCCCCCACACTTTGGAACTCTCTCCCACTAAACATCAAGAATGCCATCTCTCTCTCTTCGTTCAAATCACTGCTTAAAACCCACTTCTTCAAATTGGCCTTCCCCTAATATGAACCCAGCATGCCCCCAGTTTTGTTCATTATTTTACATTTTGCTTCATTATGTGTTTATTGCCTTTTTGTGAAGCGTCTTTGAGTGGCCTTAAAAAGCGCTATATAAGTTTGATGTATTATTATTATTATCTTTATCTTAGTAAATCTATAATTAATTAAAAAGGTGAACTAGTAGTAGCACATTCCATTTTGAAAAATACCGGGAAATTCTAGCTCAGTGTTAACTGCAAAAATTGACACATCCCAGAAGCGGCTCATGGAAAAACAGAACCCAATCGTACTTTTAGCAATGAGACTTCTGGAACGTTTCTGAAAATTGCCATGTCGCCGCTGGTTTTTGACACTCCATAGACTATAATGGGTTATTTTTGAAGCAGTGTCGTACTTCTGCAGTTTCGTGCCGCTGATGCTTCCAGTGTGCAGTAGAGGTTAGTCTCCTCCCCTTCCAATTGGCTCACAGGTCCCTGAACAAAGACAAAATGAAATGTAAGTGAACGGGGCTATAAAAGTATTTTCCAGTTCACTTTTCCTCATGCCCTGAGTCATGCATGTTGTACTTCAATTTAAATGACGAATGATTATGTAAATTTTGACTGTCACCTAAATTAAGATTTATGAGTTTGTAATTATTAAAATGACTACAAATCAGACGTTGCATATAGGACAACTGCAGAATCTCTTCTCCCCATTACAGCTGCTACTTATCACGTGACCAGATTTATAGTGTTTTTTTCACATTTAATGCTCCTTCTGTTGTTCTGGAAGAAAGATTCAAAGCTTGCTACACTAATCTTTTCCCTTCTCCGAGAGAAAAAAAGACAGCTTCAGTCAGAGGCTGTTTAGTCCGCAGATTCCAGAATGATAATAAATTGTGCATGCAGGAAGCCACTGCTTGTGGTACCACCCACCAATCAGAGGCTTTCCCCAGTAGTAGGCATGAATTGGAGCTAGCCAATCAGTCAGCAGTGGGTGTGCTTGATCAGTTAACCTAAAGCCAACCGCCTTGGGAAGAGGGCTGAATAAATGACGGGTAGCAAGCGGGTAGAATCCAGGTGTAGCACTTTACCAGCTACCAACATTGCTATTTATTGTGGGATGTAGTCCTAAACAAATGTGTATTTTGCATGGGTGCCTATGGGTTTGAGCCACTTGTTATAGTTTTGTCTTCTAAATATGTTCAGACAGAAAAGAACAAAGCACAGGTGTTGGGATGGTGCTAATTGGACTCTTGATACCCAGATGAACCAACGAACATCAACAACCACAAAAAGTGTTTGATGCATTTGAAGGGCATCATTTGTTCTGACTTAAGATTTCTGTGTCAATGGCTGAGGCTCACCCACTCACTTATTATTTTTCTGCTAACCTAATCTTGTACCATGTAAAGCCTAATTTATACTTCTCCGTCAGCTCCACGAGGGAGAGACACACACTCACAGATGAAGACAATTTGCCCTCATACTTCTCCTTCTCCTGGGCAGTGTTCCCCACCAGGATAACAGAGGGCGTAGCGCTGATCTGTGGTATCCTGTCACATATCCTGTCCAAGATAATGCATTTACTATTTTGTTTAAATAGTGTGTGTGTGTGTGTGTGTGTGTGGGGGGGGGGGGGGTGTATTTAGGAGACTTTTTAACATGGACAAATTTGTCATTCATCCACCTCCACCTCTTCATGCGCTCACCACCTCTAAACCCACGTTTCCCAATATTTCTGTCCACGAATGAAACGCTTGCTGCATATCTTTTCACTCCTCCAGTCATGGAGAATAAAACATTCAAATTTTTTGAGTTTTTCCGCAAGGTATTCTTCAAGCTGCTCCGTGTTTGCCCCTAGATATCCTCGGCTCTCTTTATGTTTCTGAGGGCGCAATGGCGGCGGTGTGGACAACAGCGGCATCCTGACCAATCACAGGCTTGCATTCTCCGTCTCAACAGACGGATGTTTAGAAAAGAGAGCTCGACTCTGTCAGTTCTTGTGAGGGCTCTCCAGCAGACTTGCAAGACTGGATAATGGCATTGCGTGCAGCCGTCCCAACGCAGACGGAGGGGTATAAATTAGGCTTAAGGCTGGTGCTTATTCCAGCAGGTCAAACATATGAGTGTACCTTTGTAAGGGTTTACAATGAAAGATTTGGGGTTAAATCATGATCAATAAGGTGTGCTGATTCTATATAAATATAGCATATCACCCTGTTTGATCTTTGAATGTTTAACCTGAAGAATTTAGGATTCTTTGCTTAATCAGGGACACACTTCGTATTAATTCAGATAGAGTCAAGGATATAATAAAAATATACTTTATTTTCTAGACTAATTTTATACATGACAAGCTATGACTAACATTTTTGTGATGAATGGTGATGTGTGGTGATGTGTAAAGTAGTGATGTGAGGGTGGAATGTGGTGATGCATGATCAGAACCTTTGTATCTGAAAGAAATTGTGAATTTTGGATGTAAAGAATTTTGTGGTCTGCTATAAGCTAGAGAGTTGATTATTAATAAAACAGCATCAGACACCAGTATGCAGGTCTCCAATACCCTTGTATGAGTTGCTCCCGGTGGTCTGGAGGGTTTGCGGTCAGAGTGGTGAGGTCACCGGACGTCAAGACCACAATTCTCAGAGATTAGTAGCTTCCTCTGAGTTCAAGCTTCCCTGGCCATGAGAACCCGGGTCTGCAGATTAGATGTCCAAGATGGATGTCTGAGAGTTGCTGAAGCTCTGAAAAGAGCTGTTGTATGTAATCACTTGCAGCATCGTGGCAAGGTTTTGACTCAAGGCCAAAGGAAGTTGTTTCAACAAGGCTTCTTTCCCGATTTGGCCGAATCGAGGGTCAGCTAGAAACTGAGTTAATCGGAAAGTAGATTCTGTTTTATTACCACCATGTTCTGACTCTGGCGATCAGAATCTGACGTGTTTGTTGACGTTACCACCTTCCCTCAGAAACCACACCTTCATCAGATACAAGAGTGTTCTATTTCTGTGGATAAAGAATCTTTATGTGCAGTGACGTTAACTGTAATTTATATCTAATGAACATTGTGTATGAGTGTAGATAATGATTCACTTGTTAAACCAAACATTACTGATCATAACATCAAAATGTTTCATTGTAATATTAAAATTCATTTGTACTTCATTGAATTAGGCACAGATTATTCAAACATTGACATTATTATTCATTTAACAGTTGTTCATTCAACCATATGTTTATTTAATGATGATTTAACTTATGAGTTGTAAAAGTTCATCTTTCATGAGAGTGTGCAATCCTGCAGTCTTATCAAAAGAAAGCTTTGTTTGGGAACATAGGCTGACATCTCGTCCCTCTGAAATGACAACAAGGACTGCAGAATCTTCTGGCTTTAGAAGACAGGATAGAAACTCCACTCAGATAGTGGAATTATGTCTGTAGGTGACCGGACACTGTGTAGGTCAATATGTAGGTGAAAACTGGCCCTTTCTAAATGTTACTCCTTGAACTCATTATAGCTCATCAGAGGGTTTTTTTTCTACCAAACTGGTTCAAAGGTGAAACTATCCATCTAAAATAAACTCAGTTACTGGAGGTGGTTTAAGAAGCAGTTTGTGAAATCATGGTCAGATTCTGGCTCAGTTTTTCAGAGCTCCTGAATGGTAAAATCCAACAATTTCTGCAGGTTAAACTCTTGTTCAGGAAGACTGGACATGAATCCAGTATTTCTTGTAGACAAAAATGTGTAATTTCTAGGCAATATTTATAATGCAAACTGTTGAGAATAATTGGTGAATGCACAGTTCACAGTCAAGAAGTATTTGTTACCACTGCTGGACTTGGTCAGGGGCCCCACCCAATCAAATTGCAGGTCTGACCACGGTGTGGACGTTCCCCTGCTTTGTAGACAAGCTCTGTGGATGAGGTTTGAAGGTTGAAACTGACCGCAAACCAAACAGCTCCTGACGTAGTCTGAGATGTCTCGACGCATCTCCGGCCAGTAAGCAACCTGGCTCAGGGCACTGAACGTGACCTTGACACCTTTTTGTCCAGTGGAAGGAGAGTCATGAGCTTGCATGATCATGCCCCCCCTTAGTGACTGCAGCGTCACAAAAACAGGCGACGATGGAGGCTTGGAGACGTGTATTAGCAACCCTTCAACTATTCTCAGTGTGACACGAACACGAAAGAGAGCACGGACCTCAGACACGGAGTCAAGCTCGACAGAGGAAAGGAGATGAGCTGTTGGATCAGAAAGGTACAGGATAATCCTGCGGATAGCAGGGCCCTGGGACTGAAGACTGACAAGGTCATTTTCAGAGAAGACAGGTTGAACAGACACAAATACATGGGATCGTCGAGGGGTGGACGCGTTAGCGGCCTGAGCTCGAGTCACGACACACACTCGGGGTGGGTCTGACTGAGAAGACACATTGTCAGGGAGCCACAAGGGGTTGAAGGACCATGGGGTACCAACAGCTGCACCTTGTTAGGCAAGAGAGTCTGCAAGGTCATTCAGTTCCCTGTGAGTTCCGGGTGCATGGGAATGTCCTTTGGCTTCACGCCAATAGATCTTCATGTCATGTGAAGTTGCTAGAGCATCACAAGCCATGAAAAAATCTTGATGTTTAACAGGTTTCCGGTTAGAGGTTAAGAACCCGTTACTTTTCCAAGAGGGTAGATGACAAGTGAAACTGAGACGCGCGTAGTGTGAGTCGGTGCAGATCACCAGCTTGCGGAAACCACGGTCAGCAGCAAGTTGTAGCACAATCAAGATCCCAGCCACCTCTGCAAACTGTGAGGTCTTAGGACCCAGCTGGTAACACCAAGAGTCTTTCTGGTAAGCGTGTAACCAAATGACACCCACGTCTGAACTAGATTCAGCACCATGTCAAAAGGAACTGCCATCAGCGTACACAGTTGGCAAATCCACACAGAGAGCTTGGTTTAAGTAGTGGTGTTTGGGGTTCAGCAGGGTCTGGGGAGGGTTAGCTGGTAGGACTGACGTGGCAGCATCGTCCGAGCAATGTTGGCATGGAGCCAGACCCATGCCAAGAGGACTACGGTGGTTTTGCACGTAGCGTACTTCAATGTCAAAGCTCTGAAGAGCAAGCAGCCATGCGTTGGTCACCACACCATCTCTGATGCATTGACTGTTAAGGAAGGTCACTGGCTGATGTTGAGCTTCAATGATGATCTTCTGTCCACCGATGCAGCTGTAAAAGTGTTTAACTGCCCACATGGTGGAAAGCAAAGTTTTTTCACAGTCAGAGTATTTCAACTCAGGACCGGACAAGAGCTTACTAGCATAGGTCACGACACACCTGTTGCAGTCATATACTTGATAGAGACCAGCACTCAAGCAGTTGGATGAGAACCCAACTTCAGTGGGACTACCCTGGCAGTCGGGGTAAAGCCTACCCTTGTGTTCTCATGAAACCGGCAGAATTCGCCCGAAGACATGGTAATTGCCGCGTGAGTGAATGAATGAAACTTGAGCTAGTTGTTTTTTTTTCTAAGGCTCACATGGTAAATGTCATTTGAGTTACTGTGATTTGCTAAAGACAAAATATGATAGCCAGTGCCAGCCGGGCACTACCTTGCGCATCCTCCAATCAGCTTTAAATATTCTACCGGAGAGCCCTCCTTCTTTCAGACAGTTTCTGCTGCAGAGATTCCAGATCGAAATGTATAGACTCAACACTGGGCGGGGCTACACATAGAGATCTGGTTGCTGCCAGGTTATAAATTAGCTACCGACACAGAAAATATCCAACAGCCATTAAGAAGGTAAGAGTGCCCCCTAGGTCACCTACTCACACCATTAAATTGTGAAGTGTTTCTGATCAGCAGAGGACTGCAGAGTGCTGTCCCATGTGAAGTTGGTGAAGTTTCTACCTACACAATCACTGACTGCACTTTTAATGGAGTTGATTAAACCGATAAAAAAAACTGCTTATGCCGCTTTAAGGTTTGATTTGCTGAAATTCTTCCTGCAGCACTGTGCTGTTTGAGAGATAACCCATTTGTGCCACGTAGAAATGCACATCTGTATTTTCAACTGAATTAATAAATATGGTATTCTATGCTATAAACACATTACTCTGTTCATGCAGGTCAGACAACTTCAGGAGAACGCTGCCCAGCTGAGGACCATTTACGCTGGTGAGAAGGCTGAGGCCATCATGGTGAAAGAGCAGGAAATTATGGAGGCATGGAAGGAGCTGCTTAGCTCTTGTGAGGCTAGTCGCATCCAGGTGACATCTGTTACTGACAAGGTGCAATTCTTCTCCGTGGTGCGTGAAAACCTAATGTGGATGGAAGGCATCATGGGCCAAATAAGATGGGATGAGCCAAGGTTAGAGATTACTTTTTTATTAAGCTATGCACTTCTATCAAAATGTGCTAAAATTGCTATTTAAAAGTCTTGCTTACTGAGAAACGATGTAACACCTGTTCTTTTTGAAACACTCTGAGTTGCATTTGCATTCTTAACATGAATTTTTCTTTAACGCTCATTGCATTTGCAATAGACAGAAAAAGAGAGTAAAACGATCGAGTCAGAAATATCCAGTTTCTTCTACGAAAAACCCTAACCCATGGCCGCGCCCACCTTGGCTTGTTTGCATTTACATGCACATAAGAACACCAAGCTGTTGCCTTAGTGTAATTGCATTAGTCTGAAGGCAAACTGGTTCTAATAGTACCCAGAAGGTAGTACCCACAATATAACTATAGACACATTAATTGTGTGTGTGTGTGTGTGTGTGTGTGTGTGTGTGTGTGTGTGTGTGTGTGTGTGTGTGTGTGTGTGTGTGTGTGTGTGTGTGTGTGTGTGTGTGTGTCTGTGTGTGTCTGTGTGTCTGTGTCTGTGTCTGCCTGCTCTGTCTTCTCGATCCCCAGTGAGTCGTGGAGGATGGCTGCTTATACTGAGCCAGGATTCTCTGGAGGTTTCTTCCTGTTAAAAGGGAGTTTTCCTCTCCACTGTCGCTGCATGCTTGCTTAGTATGAGGATTGCTGTATAGTCACTGGCACTAGTCAGTGACTTGATGCAATTTGCTGGGTTCCTTATATAGGAAACATTATTTCTGATTGGCTTAATGAACTGTGAATTGGAATGTTTATTATGTGAAGTGCCTTGAGACGACTCTTGTCGTGATTTGGCGCTATATAAATAAACTTGAATTGAATTGAATTGAATAGATAGAACGGTTAACTTTAACTGAAACTGACTTATTTTGCATGTTAACGGCTCAGTCGAGCTGTGACCGGTTGCCACAATGTAATGTGTAAAACCATCATATAGTCCAGAACCATCATATAGTCCAGTACCAAATGAGCTGTGCTGCTTTGTGCATATCTTGAATAATGATGAGTGAAACTCATAATCCTGTTGTCTCTCTACACCTCTTTATACAAACTTTTAGCCCCTAAAACAAAAGTACAAGAACTGTTTTCCAAAAACAAAAAAAACCTCACAAGACATCCATTCATGCTAGAGTCCACAGCAGATTTATTGAAAAATCAAGTCAATGGGACGTGGGCAGCAGTAGCTCAACAGGTTGAGCGGGTTGTCCAGTAATCAGAAAGTTGCAGGTTCGATCCCAGCTCCAGACAGAGAATTTTGCTGTTGTGTCCTTGGGCAAGACACTTAACCCACCTTGCCTGCTGGTGGTGGTCGGAGGGACCGGTGGCGCCCATGCTCGGCTGCCTCACCTCTGTCAGTGTGCCCTAGGGCAGCTGTGGCTACATCGTAGCTCATAACCATCGGTGTGTGAATGTGTGTGTGACTGGATGAATGGTACACTGTAGTGTAAAGCGCTTTGGAGTCCTTACTCTGAAAGGCGCTATACAAATGCGGGTCATTTATCATTTATCATTTAATTGTAGAACTCTTTTTATGTATCTGTGTTCAATTTTTGTGAAAGTCTGTGTTCTTGTGTGGTCCCCGAGAAAATAACATCAATATGTTTAATGTGAAATTAGGCAACCCGATTCACTATTTATTTTTCGTTCAACTGTAAAAGGACATTCTGAAATTCTGACATTTTCTCTTTATGTATAAAAGCTAAAGTACTGTTTCTAAACATTTATGGCATGGCTAATAAATTATACTCCTAGAAATGCACACAAATCTGCACAATTCAAACATAAACAATTAACATTTCAATAAATAATTGTATCTATCTTCAGGGATTTAACAGCTTTGGAAGTGATGCTAAAACAACACCAGGACATGAAAACCAAAATAGACGGACGCAGCAAGACGTTACAACAGTGCACAGACCTTGGCAAGATTTTGATAGCTGCAGGCAACCCTGCATCAGAGGAGGTAGATGAACAAACAGCACAACTTCTTTGTCAACCATTAAATGACAGTGGGACATTGCTAAACATTATATGTTCATGGCTGCAATCTGCTTTTCACAACAGATAAAGGAGAAGTTGGACAGCCTTTTGACGAAGCAGAAGGATCTTATAGAAAAATGGGACAAGCACCAAGAAAAGTTACAGCACAGTAAGTAACTGGAATTAAGTAATAGGCACAAAATTTCAAAATGATAAAATGTGGTAAGAAGGAAAGCACACACTGTTTTGCCACTTACAGAGCAGGAAAGGTTTCAGTTTGCTCAGGAGACTGTAAAGGCAGAGGCCTGGCTGAAAGCCAAGGAGCCACTGATCACCTTCAAGCAACAAGGGGTAGAAGAAGCTCATGCTCAAAGCGATGAGGTTGAGCAGCTCATACTTCGCCACGAGGCCTTTCGCAAGGCTGCTGTAACCTGGAAAGAACGCTTCAGCTCTCTTCGCCAGCTTTCTGCAGTAAGCTTTACTCTAGAAACATGTTTCATAACTTTCACGTTTTATTGCTACATCAGGAAAACAATCACCACATATTTTAATATTTGCTTAATCAACATCTGCACATGCTCTTAGTTTCATTATTTGCCTTAATCAGTATTGAGACTGATTACCTCTCCTGCATGTGGTAAATCCTCACCCAATCTGCTTATCGTGCAATATGGTTTAGCATTTAACCAAACATATAATCTAATATTACATTTACTTAACCTTTTGTCAGACGACTTTCTTGAACCATTGAGATACAACCCCTAAAAACGTATTTGTGAATGTTATTGATGTTTCTCCCTTATGAGAACACATAAGTGTTGTATTTTTTATCATTAGAAACACTGACCACTTAGATGCAGTCTGTCGTGCCATATTTTCATATGCAAAATTAGTATCTGGGAGTATTCCCAATGTAGAGTAAATATGCTGTCTGAAGAAAATATCTGAAAAAATAAACCCTGATCAGTCACCTTTATTTTGAGAGTTATCTTGTTCTACTTTTGTATCTGTGGAATGAACAGCACAACTGAAAATGTGTGTTGGTCCCATAAAATGTGCCACATTCTCCTTTTGGTATTATTGTTGTTTAAAGGTTCAACAGCTGCTAGCTGTTTATTAGTCCGCAAAAATAAACAATCAATGATGAACAGGGGTCTGCTTCTAGACCTGCAGAAAAGAGACACACAACAATACAACAGGAGCAAGCTATCACTGCGTCAACCTGATGAGGAAATATAAAATCAACATTGTTTTACTGAACAATCACGATAATAAATCACAGTGCATTTAGTGCCAACCACAGCCTTAAGACATGTGTTGAACGTGCCCATACTTATGAGAGCACCATGTGAGCACCTGTGTGTGTACACGCGCTTGTATATTTAAGATTTCTCTATAGGATCGTCCAATAAAGAGTGTGAGGGGCCACAGATCCACCCCCAAAGATGTGTAGGAGATGGGGGGAGCTCCAAGTCCCAGAGATCCAGGAGCTCCCCCAGAGCGCAGGGACCCCAGGGAGACTGCAACCAGAAAAGCCTCTGCCCCCCTCGAGAGGTGCAGAGGATTGCTCCGGGGGGCCACAACCAGCAGTCGGCAGAGTCCTGGGAGTTATCAGCGGCAAGCCCACAGGCCCACCCGCAGCCCCCCACCCCCAAGCCGGCCAAGCCCAGAACACAACGATCTGGGACCCAGGGGTGACCACCCCCGCCGGGGACCTAGCAGAGCCCAGAGACTCAGATCCCACAAGGCAGCCACCGGGATTGATTAGGCAGATGCCAAAAATCCTAAAACTCCTGACCCGGGAGCCGCGAACACTCAGGCAGACCAAGGCACCACACTCCACACCAGGTGTGGCAGGGGAGGGGAGACGAAGATGTATAACAGCAAAAGAAGTCCCAGGTGAGGGGAGGAGTCAAAGACCCCACCTGACATATACAGTCATACACAGACACAGTCACACACTCCCTCCCTCGTGCTCACACATACACATACAACCTAAGACTCACAAAAATGCACGCCGGACACTCACTCATGCTCCCCATACACACCCTATTCACTCTGGTCCCGGTACTGCTGCACATGGGGTACAACCATTACCGGTTCCCAGAGTTTGGCCCTTTCTGCTGGGGTGCTGATGAGCAGGCTCCCCTGCCCAACGCTGAGCAAAGCGACCCACCACCCCAGACACCAACCAGACGGCCAGATCCCCCTCCTAGCCTCCAGCCCCGGGAAGCCAAGCGGTCTATATTTGCGAAGTGAGAGGCAGTGTTGGGAAAGTTTTAAATAATATATAATCACTTAAAAAAGTGTAGTGATTAAGGATTTTATCTATATAAATTAAACATGTGCAAACAAAAATTTCAAGATCCATTGCAGTGTTAAACAAAGTGAAGTAAGTCTTGGATTATAAATTGCTCAGATTACTTTATTGCTTATTAGTTCTTCCATATCTTAGCTATTGTGCAACAGTTTGGGGTAATAATTACATTAGTGCAATCCAATCACTAATAATTTTCAAAAGAAAGCAATATGAATCAGTCATAAAGAGCATAAAAAGTCAGCCAAAGGAAATGAAACAGACCTTTTTTCTCGTCGCCAGGGGTTGGCCAAGGCCGAGTCAGCTGAGAAGTCCTCGATTGTGTGAATAGTCTTCTGGGACCATAGGAAGTTGGCCCCTGATTTGGTTGACGGTCTCTGTGTAATTCAGGAGAACTTCGTTCCCCGGGAATGGCGTGACTTTAAGGTTCCTTCACTTCAGCTGCACCGAAAATGTGGATTTCACAGCGCGGGTCCAAATTATCAAAACTGATGCCGAATCAGAAAAACTGCTCCAAATTAGTTTGACTCTTACTGTGAAAACTTTACCGGACCAAACCAAATTCCGGTTTGACGTAGAAGGTCTAACAAAAACAAAGTTGTCGCTGAGTTCCACTGTGACTTTGAGAGCTAACGACTTGAAAAGTTTTGCCGTTTTTACAGGACCATAGCGTTTGCAAAACGGGATTTGCCTCCCTGGGGAGGATAAAGGTTGTTTATAAGATCAGACCGTGGCGGTAATGTGGCGCAATCGTGGCAATTTTCTAAAAGATTAGGTGATGGCGGCATACAGGGGGTATGGGGCGGTCTCTGCATTGCCACAGACTTCCGTTTATCTTGGACATAACTTGCTTTTTATTGCGATTGAAGCCGTGATCGTTAAGATTTTTTAACAAGCAGCTCCTAAAGGTGTCTGTCCTCATCAGTCCCTGTGCAGTCTCAGGTGATCTGAGCTTCAGTTCTAACAGAGAGGCTCATGGAGCGCTGCGGCGCTCCAGTTAACCATCTCAGCTGATTTTGTTCAAAAAGCAAGCCTTATTGCCTGTGTTTACTTTCATTTTCAATTAATTTGCCAGCCGGAGCTCAGCAATAACTCCCCACGCCATCATCACATCTGCCTCTGTTACGCCAGGGCACATACAACAGACCATTACCGCAATACTACTACCAAGCGAGGCAGTAGAGCAGCAAGCGAGTTTATAGACATGCCATTGCGGTAATATTACGCCGATTTGCCGGCATGGTGTGTCTTATAAAAACACCTTTTGAGAGCTACGGCATTGCTAAGTGAGATGAAAAGCATAGCAGGGATTTGCTTAAGGCGTCCTTTTGTTCTTTGCTCTGCCGCCATGAGACTTGATTCTGGCCTTTTAAAACCTTCCTTGGGCACGTCCACATGTATTTCACTTATTAACCACTGGGTGGCACTGTGACTCTTTCAAATAAACATCCTTTTCAAACAATGTCTGAGGCATCAACATTTACCAAGATTATCTGTATAAGGCATCAAAAATTATTACTTCAAACAAAGAAAGAACTAAATTCATGTCTTAATCTTGACCGTATTACTGTTGGCATGAATTTTAACTGGAGAAACAAAAATGGCAGAGGTTTAACATGAAAGAGGAAGGCAAACACCATTTATGTCTGTTACTGATACGAGTTTCACATTTACTTTAAACACATTGATTTTTTTAAATGGTAAACAACCTAAAACACCTTCTTTGACTGTTGATAAACAAAAATACAAGGCTTTATAAGGACTAAAGTCTGGAAACTTACAGACGAAAACCCCTGAGAAGTTTTACGACCACCCAGATTTTGTATAAGAATCAGCTTTGATGGCTGGATATAAAACAGACCAGTTTCTGATATTGTCCTTCTTCTCTGACTTGTAAAGGAGGGAAAACCAAGTTAATTGGTGCAATTTACGACCCTGAGAGAGAATCGTAGGAGTTAACCAGATGTATTGGAAAAGGAATCTTGGAATTTATATGACTGCAGCCAGTTTCAAATTCTCCCTTTGCTGCAGTGTAAGGGAAAGTAAAGCTTTGTGTGTAATAGCCGTTCGTTGTCCTTCTTCTTGTGAATCCAACTAAAGTTAATTTGAGAATATGAAATGGGGATTTCCGCTACATAAGTTTCAAATATATGAACTAGTTCAAAATTCAGTTCACACTTTTTTTAATGAACTAGTTCAGTTCATGGTTCACAGTTCCTAAAATGAACTAGTTTGTAGTTCTCTTTTTTTCAGTATGTTGTGGTGAGCTATTAACCTCAGAATTCTGACATTTTTCAGTTGTTTCTGCCCGTTCAGCTCTCACTCATACCCAACTTCAACTATTACAGTAACAGCAGTAACAGCATATTCTCAGTAAGAAAAAACTTGTTGTTTGAAAATTTAAATGAGCAATGACTAAACAAAGAACCAGGCTGAGGTATAAAGCAAGAATGTAGGCTACATCCAAGTGCAAAACATTTAAACATTATTATTCACTTTTCAGTGTTTGTAAATTAATTTTTTGACTCTGGTGTGCTGCTGACCTTGACTCAAGACATTTCGGATCAGTGGACTGAGTACTTTGAAGACCTCCGCAATCTCACTGGCACATCTTCCAATTTGGAAGTGGAATTTGGGAACTTTGGGTTGGGCTCTCCAATCTCTGGTGCTGAGGTCACTGAGATAGTTAAAAGTCACCTTGTTGTCAAGGCCCCCAGGGGTGGATGAGATCCACCCAGAGTTCCTTAAGGATGGATGTTGTGGGGCTGTGTTCTTTGACACAGTGCCGCAATATCGCGTGACTACTGGGGCCAGTTCCACTGGATTGGCAGACCAGGATGGTGGCCCTCCTTTTTAAAATGGTGGACTCCAGGTTGTGTTCCAACTACAGGGAATCACACTCCTGAGCCTCCCTATGCCCATGGAGGGTGTATGGAAGTTTGCCCAACTAATCTGTTTTGTGGATTTGGAGAAGGCATTCGATCATGCCCTGTGGGGAGTTCTTCGAGAGTATGAGGTTCCAGGCCCTCTGATACGGCTGTTAGGTCCCTATATGACAAGTGTCAGCTTGGTCCGCATTGCCGGCAATAAGTCGGGGTCATTCTGGGCAAGGCAGCTTTATTTATGTGGCACATTTCATACACAGAGGCAATTCAATGTGCTTTCTATTAGCAAGAATAGTAAGAACATTAAAATCAACATGACAGAAAATACAATTTAAAAATGAAAAAGAAATAAAGTTAAAGGGTGAGTAAATACAGTGCATTATGTGCAGCATAAGAACATTTATTCAAAGGCTGATGAAAACATGAAACATGAACATCTAAAATCAATGTTACATTTTTGCTTTCAAAGTAAATAAAACACACGATAAGGCCCGTTGTTAAGAGAAGATGCTACATCAACTGCTGCTAAATGCAGCTGCATTTCTTGCAGCCCAACAGCCAGTGGGAGGTCTACTGTTTATAACGTTTATGGTGAACATAATGTTTTTGCCATAGCTTTAGCGCCATGGAAATTTTGAATTTTCTTGAGCAAAATTAAACTGTGAGAGCGCTGTTCACCAAAAAATATGAATGTGGTCATGAATGATTGTTTGAAGAACTCATTAAGGCACAACACTGCGGGAAGTACAACATATCTTGATGATTATGAGGTGGCAAGGAACTCACTGTGAATGGCCAGTTTTTGTAATTTTAGGGCTGCCAGAAAAACTGCATTGACTACTTTGACAATCTGGCACTTCTGCACTGGTGTTGACCTCACCAACAGCAGAATCTAAGAATGTGGGATACTATTATGTTCATCAGTGAATCAAGGTTCTGCCTATGACAGGATTAAAGCATGAAGCCAGTGTGGAGAATGCTAAATATCCACCGTTGTCACACATGACAACAGTGTGATGCACTGGGTGGTTCTGCTCCTGAGCATTCCATCCCTGACCGGGCCTTTGCACTGGACATGTAAGCGTCTAGTGGGAAGGCCAAGTAAAACGATGTCGGAATAAGAATCTAGAGCAGCAGTACTCAATAGGCGGCCCGCGGGCTGTGCTGTTATACTGTAGGGTGGTGTAATGAACCGCCAGCCCCCCCGCCTCCGGTCCGAGGGTTAACCCTGATTAACCCTGTTCTATAGCCAGTAGTGATTCCATATCTTCAGGATTTGGAACCAAAGTCTCTTCTACACATTTACCTGTGTTGCTCACTTCCAGAAGCACAACACTTGCAAGTTGTACCTTGTGACTAAGGTGACCAATCAGGCTTCCAACAATATTATATACACTATAAAAAACCAAATGACTTTAATAAAGAGGAGAAAGGGTTCACTTGGTTTCTGTGTTTCTACAAGTGTTTGTTATATCTCTCTCCATAGGCTGAAAAGACAAAAGAAGAGGACAAAAAACCAACTCCACTTTCTAGTCGAAGGATGTTCCCATTATCTTGCCTGACTCCTAGTGTTCCATCAAGTGCTACCTCTTCTTTCTTGAGGCAGACAATACAGGCTCATGTAGAGCCCAAACCTTTACAGACTAGTTTAGATATGGGTGCCAGCTCAGCATCACAAAGATTGTCTACAACATTAGCTAGCTATAACCCAGTCATAAATGGATCAAGTTACCATGGAATGGACCAGCAGCGCACTGGGAAGAGTGTAAACATTCCATACCTAGGAATGAGCCAACATGTGGCTGGGGCTGGAAGTGATTCTGGTTTCTCTGCATCCCAGAGTGGTGGACCAGACACATCTAACTACCATGGGATAAATCACCAAACTCCTGGCAGTGCAGAGAGTTCTGGATATTATGGAGTGACCACTGGATGTGTAGGTGGTATTCAAAACCATCTAGGCAGTGGCAAGTTAGGAAATCCAATTAACATAGCCCAGCCAAGCAGTGGAGGGCTGGGGAGCCCTGGCTTTCTGTCGCAACAAAATACGGGCAGTTCTGGATATTTGGCACAACCCCAGAATTTGGGAAGTTCAGGATATTTGGGACAGCAACCAAATTTGGGAAGCTCTGGCTATTTGGCACAACAATCTAATATGGGTAGTTCTGGATATTTGTCACATCAGCCTAATTTGGGGAGCTCTGGGTATTTAACGCAACAGCCGAACATAGGGAGCTCTGGGTATTTGGCTCAACAGCCTAATATGGGGAGCTCTGGTTATCTGGCACAACAGCCTAATATGGGAAGCTCTGGTTATCTGGCACAACAGCCTAATATGGGGAGCTCTGGGTATTTAGCACAGAATTATCAGAGCAGTGGTGGTCTAGGAAGCTCAAGCTATCTAGCACAAAATAATTACAGCAGTGGAAGTCTAGGTAGCTCTGGTTTCCTGGCGCAGAGTGGAGGCATCATGGACCCTAAAATGGCATATGCATGGCAGCACCTAAAAGCTGACTTCATGCAGCCCAGGATCAATCACATACACAAAGCTATAAACCCTCTCCTGGAAGCCAGCAGACTGCAGCGAGAGCAATTTGGGGATATTCCAATGGCAGACATGATGGGGCCAGAATCAGGACTGGAGCTTCTTCATGGTCGCCTCCAAAGAGATCCCAGAGGCAGTCGCTCTGATCCTCAAATGGACCACCTGAGACGAGAGAGAGAATACAAATTGGGAAGACAAACCTCCAGTGAACAAGAAATCCAAGCCAGACTGAATGAGCTGCCACTTATTGTACGTCAGGAGCGTTACAGGAGGCGCGTGGAGAGGCAGTCATCCAGTGAACAAGAGGGAAGCAACAAACAGAGGATACAGAGACAGGATTCGAGTGACCTAGAGGGCTCTGTGAAGGATGGCTCTGACAAACGCTCTGGGTATGTGGAACAGTGGTACTGATGGTGAAACTTTTATCAAAATTTGCTTTACGGTTAATCTAGTCAGAACTACCCAGTAGCTTTGCATTCATGTTTAAATTTTCTATGTAAATGTTGTTTTGATGGATTCCTTTTGTTGTTCACACAGGGAGAAGAGATCCACTATGGCAGAGATTGTAGAACAAGTTCAGGAAAGAGAGGCAGCGCATGTAATACAGCTTGTTAATAATCTTACAGTGAAGATTGTTTTTGTTGTTACTATTGAACATTCTCTTTTAACTGGCTTCATTAGGCACGCGGAGAGCCCTATCGACCTCCTAGCAGCCTCTCAGCTCCTGTAACTCGTTCTGATGGACGCCCTCGAGCTCGAGATCGTCCAAAACCAAGGAGGCGTCCCCGGCCAAAAGAGCCAGAGGGAACTCGACGTTCTCGATCAGCCCCAGCAACTGGTGCCCCAACAACACCCCAACCACCTTCACACACTGCCCAAAACGAAGGCTTCCTCTACCGTAAAAAGGCCACCAGCAGTGACCTTGAAGCTCAGCAGAGGAGTCCCAACAGGTGCATCCCTTTTTAAAAAAAGAAACACTTCATAAAATTACTAGAGTTGGGGCACATTTGAGGTCATAAGGAAACTGATTATATCTGTGTGCAGCATACTGGCTGACAGCTCTACCCTGTTCTACCAGGGTTTTACCTGCTGACTGTTTCCTAAGGACGTCAGAGCCCTGCTAGGTGTTTACCAGATGGAGATCTAGCATGTATTTTGGTCCCATCGGGCAGCATAAGCTCAGGTGGTAGAGCGGGTTGTCTTATGATCGGAGGGTCATGGGTTCGATTCCAGCTTCCGCCAGGGGTATTCTGCTGTTATGTCCTTAGGCAAGACACTTCACCCAGCTTGCCTGTGTTGGAGGTGGTCAGAGGGGGCCAACGGCTCCAAATGGCAGCCTCGCCTCTGTCAGACTGCCCTAGAGCAGCTGTGGCTACAAAGTAGCGTACATCACTCGCAGTATGTGAATGTGAGAGTGCATCAAGCGTCTTTGAGTGTCCTAAACAAGCGCTATATAGGTTTGATGATGATTATTATTACTATTGTTCCATTTTAAAGGGACAATAATTTTTATCATTAATCCCTGGAAATATCCATCAAACAGTTCTTGAAAATAAGTTAAATGATGCCCAGTTGTTGAAAAATATTGGCAGCAATGGCGTGAGCAATCTAGAGAATTTCTTAAAAAACTCAGCAGGAAACTCGTCTGGACCAGGAGATTTATTGTTCTGGATGTTACTGATAGCATCGGAAATCTCGCTTATTGAAATATCCTTTTCCAGATCGCCATATAAATCTGCTTCCACAGAAGTTTTTTTTTTAATTGTTCATAATCTTTCTCCATAGAGGAGAGGTCCAATGAATACAATGATCTGTAAAATTGGCTGAAACATGAACTGACCATTCCGTTTTCCAAACGTTTGACTCCTTGAGCATTGTTAATTACTGGTAGGATCTGAGATGCCGATTTCCAACGCAACTGGTGTGCACGCATCCGCCCTGTCCTCTCTCCCTGTTAAAAATATTCGGAACGTGTTTCAGACATTGTGTATTCAGCTTGTCGGGTTGATCAGATATTAAATTCGTTTTAAGTGCCATTTGATTTTTATTCAAGGTTGATGAGAAGGAGTAAGCAAGGATCTCATCCAGTACTTTTGTCTCTCCTAATAAAAGTTTTAGCCGCGTGTTCCTTTTCCGTTTTCATTAGCACAGTAAGAGATTATCTGGCCCCTTCAGTAAGCCTTCAGAGACTCCCAAATAGTACTAAAGGACATTCCAGGGGTTTGGCCTGTCTCTACAAGTTCAATTTACAAATTCAACAAATTTATCGTCCAAGAGGAGCAGAGAATTAAATTGTCAAGGGTGATGTGCTAATTGCAAACTTTGGACAGTAATTATTATGGTAAGAGGGCCATGATTTGAAATAACAATAGTGCCTTAGTCAAAATCCTTAACCATATTTGAAATTCTAGTATCCTTAAAAAAAAAAGGTCAATTCTTGAAAAAGATTTATGCACAGAGGAATAGAATGAATATGTGCTTGAAGTTGGATTCTGGGAACACCACACGTCTACCACTCCAAAAGTTTTTAAAAATTTGGATTGACTGTGCTGATTTGATGAGAGTCTGTCATCCAGTAGGACTCCGGTCCAAGGGGGAGAACACACAGTAGTGTTTGCCAGTAGTTGTCTGACGCCAGCATTTGCCACAAAAATCATCGAGAAGAGTTATTTCAAAACTCAGTGAGATGCCGAGTGCCACACGTCTGACTTCTCACTCCGTCATCTTGATTCCCCCCCTGGAGGATGAATTTTGATTAACCGTCAAATTTGGACAGCCTTCTCATAAGGCTTTTTCATAATGTGCCTTAAAATTTATCAAATTACATAATGTGAAATGTGAGCTGAGCTGGTCACTAGCATGAAAAGGAGAAGCCAAACTGTTGACTTCTATAAGAAGGAGGAGATAAGTCTGTGACCAAGCTACCTGCTGGTGGTCGTTGGAGGGACCGGCAGCACAACTGGCATGGAAGCCTCGCTTCCATCACTGTACCAGATGGGAGCTGTGGCTCCATTTTGGATAATCGCCACCCGTGTGTGAATGTGTTAATTGCTGAATTGCTGTTGTGTTGTAAAGCACCTTGGGGGGGTTCTAGGACTCTAGAAGGCACTATACAAACACAAGCCATACTGCTTTTTACAATATCATCCTCCTTCCAAGGACAATCAAAACCCCATTTGAAGTCTTTACAAAGTCTGTATAGGTAGTGACTCTAATGGGATGGCAGAAAAATAAGCCTCAGCAAACTGAAAATCCCTATCTTTTGGTAACATGTAAAACATGAGATATTATCAACAGCAGTCACAAAAGGATCAAATAGTACCAACCAAAAGGAGCTGGAGGTTGTAGGGTGATCTTGAACTCAACAATAGGAGGCAGAACATCATGTTTGTAAGGTTTGTTTGCAGCCAGCTTAGAATGGAGGCCCTAAAGTACATCAAAAAGCAAATCCAATTGTTGGTGCTGTTTCTGTAGCATGAGCTGAAAGTGACCTACACATTCTGGGTCCATGCTGGTCAGATCCTTCTGTCACATTTTGGTTATTGACCAAAAATTATTGTTAGACTAAATAAACTTAGACCAAGGACAGGCAACTAGAATAGGACAAAGCAGAGCCAACCAGGATTCAACAAGAGGATCTGAACTCAGGATGCTTTTATGAGGTCATTTCAAAGAGGTGAGCCTAGTACAGTGAGGAGTTATGGTTATTTGCTAAAAAGCTATTGTTACACTGAAGAAATAATAGACCAAAATCAAATTTACACTTTTTGTTGCAAAGTCTACTGTTAAACATCCGTTGTGTTTGCACCTTGATGACTGTACTTTTGAAATGTTTAGTATTGTGTCTACTTTGAAACATGCTCAATGGAAATTACATTTATAATATTTACAAACAGAACATATCTGTCTTTGTTTTTACAGCAAATCCTGGGTCCAAGTGTATTGTGTGTTGAAAGAGGGACAGCTGACGTTCTATAAGGATGCTAGGAACCACAACACAACGTACAATGGGGAGCCTCCTGTTGAACTCTATAACTGCTCATTTGATCCTTCATTGGGGTACAAGAAGAAAAAAAATGTCTTCATACTGCAGTAAGAACATTTTTTAAGCAAAACATTATTTTATTGTTTTTTAATTTATGTATCTGAAAAAAAGTACAAGGCAATATTTGTTTTTTTAGATAATAGGAATTTAAAAATCATATTGAACAGAAATGCTAGTACATATTATTCTTACAGTGTACAAAAAATTATCACCAATTAATCTTTGTTTCTTTCATCAAAAGAGTGAATGATGGAACCAACTTTGTATTCCATGCAAGAGATGAGGTAAGAGAATTTAATACGTATTACAAATGTGAGTCATTTTTAAAAAGACGATTTTTTTTGTTTTAAAGCAAAACGTGGTACCCTAAAAATAAACGTTTTGGGATTTATAGTCCTCTATTCAGTGGCAGTTCTACATGGAAATTCTCACCAGGCAAGACATCCCGTGTTTAAAAGGGCAACATGGAAAACATGCAGGACAGTGGTCCCTGAGGACCAGGGTTGGGAAACACTGTATTAGGTCACTTTCCAGTATGGAAAACCTTTCCTTGATGATGTCTGTCTGAGTAGTCTAGTGCGCCCCCTAATGGAATACCCCAGTATGTGCAGCACAGTGCTGTGCAGCAGCAACTATGTTGTAACGGACCAAAAGAGTTAATTTTGACCATCAAATTGGCCTTTGATTTGAATACATAAACCCACTATCTATCTGGCCTCCAAATCCTGAAAGTTCTGCTCAGTGCTTGTTTACATACAAGAAGACATAACATTCAGACAAACACTCTCTCCCAAGGTCTGATGCAGGAGCCAGGCTGCTGCATTCCTCACCCTAAAGATAAAGTGAACCTACTCGAAGCCTACATGACTTTACAACTCATAAGCTTAAATATTCATAAATGTTCAAAGAACAAGATGTTTAAATCAAATGTTTGAACAATCTGTGCTTAAATCAATGATTTTACAATGATTCCTTTCAGATATTATGATCAGAATGTGTTGGTTTAACAAGTTAATCATTGTTTACACTCAAACACATTAAAATAAGATACTTATTAAGGTTGATATTCACTTCACATAAGTGTTTTAAGCATGGGCGTCGCACCCGTGGGGGATGTGGGGGATGCGACACCCACACTTTTCTTATTGAGATCATTCAACACCCATACTTTTGGCGTCGCACCCGTGGGGGATGTGGGGGATTCAACACCCACACTTTTCTTATTGAGATCGTTCAACTGACACCCTCACTTTTCCAGCTGTTTTGCTCACCTCCACACCAGTCTGGTTTCTTTACGTCGCACTTACTCTGTTTGCCTCATCTCCTTCTTCACCTCCCGCTTCTGACTGCCGATGTTGGGTTTCAAGGAGAGCAGGAGAGGGAGGGACGGAAGAGCTCGACTGAATTCATAATTTGACATCTTGACATTAGCTGTACAAAGTCTGAGTTTGATAAAGTGAAGAACAACAATTTGCAGAGGTTTATAACAGGCACGGCGCCAGGTTTTCATTTCTGGGTGGGCCACGGTAATTTTGGACAGACCTTAATAAGCAGTGACTTAAGTGAAGCAGGCAGGTCGCGCTAGAAATTTTTGTTTAAAAAGACGTCATAAACGTGTTCCCTTGTCATTTTTATTTCTAAAATATGAAGTAAAAACTCCCAATTTAATTTTCATTCATTTGTCATTAATATTTAGTCTATACCCGTGCGTTAAGTGGACCATCTTCCAGTAAAAACAAAGCATCCAGGCCACCTCTCCAAATGCGTAAAATGTGCATCACAGCCGCTAGGCGCGCCGCACGCACCATCAGCTACGTCAGCACAGACAAGAGCAGAGCAAATAGAGAAAGAATAGAGGATAATTCTGTCTGGATGTGGATGGAGATTACATTTTACAGCAGCCTGATCATCATTTAAATACGTAAACCATCACCTGGCTTCTAGTCCACGCTATCAGCATTATTTTAATTGGTGTGTGTGTGTGTGTGTGTGTGTGTGTGTGTGTGTGTGTGTGTGTGTGTGTGTGTGTGTGTGTGTGTGTGTGTGAGTGTGTGTGTGTGTGTGTGTTTTCCACTTCACACACTGGTCTAACCAACCAGACCAGCGTGTCCAGTAACATATTAATGTTACAATTAAACAGTTTCACTTCATGTAGGCTAGGAACATTTCACCTGCTGTGGCCCGACCGCTTCTGCTCCACATAAACTTTGTGCGTGATCAAATGTCTCTACAGGTGCTTTCTGAGCTGAAGAGGCTTTTCTGCCTCAGACTGGATTTGTCATGCGTCTCCATATTAGAGATGGGAACAAGCGCTATTCAGCCAAACTTTCATAATCAGCGAACATTTTTCCAGGTGACACATCCCTCAGAGAGACCGGCTTTCCAGACCGCTTCAGTGGGAGGAAATCTTATTGCATGCGTCGTGGTTCTGCACTGCGCTGCGAACCCCTCTACAGATCTTCAGCTCACTGTCCACCGTGTGCGCTCCGAGCCGTGCTGAGCACATGTCCAGTATACAGCTCTGATAGGAATCATTTCTTGATTTATTCAGTTTCCTCCCCGATGTGCGTAACGATTAAAATGTCAGCTCATCTGTGTGTGCATCAGTGTGCGTCGGGGTAATTCTTTCAAAACAACCAACATCCTTGAGTTTATCCGTCAAAATAAACAGTCAAATGGAAATATCTGTAACCTGCCATTTAACCGTTTTGCCTTCCTGTGAAGATTGTTGCAAAGAGAAACAACTAAACTTGATTAAGCCGAGAGCCACGCGCACTGTGCTGTACTGACTGTAAAATGAGGGGGAAACGATTTAATCGGATCCTTTTCTTTTCAACATGGATTAATGTAAAGTTTCATTCAGTGCAAACTTTAGTTACACCAATCTAACGAGACAGAGCCTGGATTTGTATTCTGAACAGTTTAAACATGTTTAAAATGGAGACATGTGTGACGCGTCTAAAAGTCACACCTGCTCCGCTATTATGGAAATTAAACTAACAAGATGAATAGCATAAAATTATTTTAGGCACGGACAACATCCCCCACACTTTTGAAAAGCTTGCAACGCGCCTGGTTTTAAGACATTCTCATTCACAAAGTGTTAAAACATCTTAGTATCTGAACAAGGCGTGTCTTCTGAGGAATGTTTGGTAAATTGCTCAAAACGTGGCAAATTCTGATTTGCCAAACTTGGCCAAAACTCATAAAATTTTGGTTTATTGAAACAAGAATTACTTCCCGATTAATTCAGTTTCCAGCCAACTCCCGATTCAGCCAAATCGGGAAAGAAGACTCTTTTGAAACCATCTCCTTTGACCTTCAGTCAAAGCCTTTGCAACGCTGCAAGTGATTACAGGCAAACAGCTCTTTTAAAAGCAACTTCACACCTCAAACATCCACCTTGGATGCTAACAAGCATTCCAGCTTACTGTTTTGGCTTGGAGATATCTCAAAACTGGACGGGTCGTATCGGAGCTAATCTACGAGCTTCTAATACCTTGAGATCGAGGTCCATCTGATTTCTGACAGTCCGGATCTGCTGGGGGTCTCCACAAGGGTAAAGTAGACACAACAGATTGCATCTGATGAATTTTATAAATAAACAAGTCTCTAGTTTATAACCAAACAACAAATTATTTTACAACCCAGACTTCACAAACCCTCTCAGATACAAAGAATGGTTTTGCTAAAACATCTAGCTTCCATTACAACATTTCACACATCACATTAAATCACTCCATAATATGTATATATAAGGTCATGTTTCATCAGAGTTTGTTCATTGTCTCAGTTGATATTACCTTGAATATCAATTGATAATCATTTGTCCTGCATCATCATTAGTAGTAGAAATATAGTAATACATTGATTTTTTCCTCTTTACCAAGATCATCCATCCCACCTGACAGGTGTGGCATATCAAGGAGCTGATTAGACAGCATGAATAATGTACAGGTGTGCCTTAGACTGCCCACAATAAAACGACGCCCTGAAATGTCCACAGTTTTGCTTTATGGGTGGTGGGGCAGAAAACCAGTAAGTATCTGGTGTGGCCACCATTTGCCTCATGTAAGGCAACACATCTCCGTTGCATAGATTTGAACAGGTTGTTGAGTTTGGCCTGTGGAATGTTGGTCCCTTCCTCTTCAATAGCTGTGCGAAGTTGCTGAATACTGGCAGAAATTGGAATACACTGTTGTATACACCAATCCAAAGCATCCCAAACATGCTCAATCGGTGATATGTCTGGTGAGTATGCTAGCCATGCAAAAGCTGGGATGTTTTCAGCTTCCAGGAATTGTGTACAGATCCTTGCAGTACGAGGCCGTGCGTTATCATGCTGCAGCATGATGCACCTGTGTTCGTTGTCCATAACATATGCCTGCCCATACCATTGTCCCACCGCCACCATGGGCCACTTGTTCCACAACATTGACTTCAGCAAACAGCTTCACCCACACATGCAGTCTGCCATCTGCCCTAAACAGTGAAAACTGGGACTCATCTGTGAACAGAACGCTTCTCCAATGTGCCAAACGCCATCGAATGTGAGTGTTTGCCCACTTAAGTCGGTCATGATGACGGACTGCAGTCAGGTCCAGACCCCGATGAGGATGACGAGCATGCAGATGAGCTTCCCTGAGATGGTTTCTGACGGTTTGTGCAGAAATCGCTGGTTATGCAAATCAATTGTGGCTGGTCTCAGGCAATCATGGAGGTGAACATGCTGGATGTGAAGGTCCAGGGCTGGTGTGGTCACATGTGGTCAGCGGTTGTGAGGTCTGTTGGGTGTACTGCCAAATTCTCTGAAACGCCTTTGGAGATGGCTCATGGGAGAGAAATGAACATTAATTTCATGGGCAACAGCTCTGGTAGACATTCCTGCAGTCAGCATGCCAATTGCTTGCTCCCTCAAAGGTTGCAACATCTGTGGCATTGTGCTGTTTGATCAAACTGCACATTTCAGGGTGTCCTTTTATTGTGGGCCATCTAAGGCACACTTGTACATTATTCATGCTGTCTAATCAGCCCCTTAAAATGCCACACCTGTGAGGTGTGATGGATGATCTTGGTAAAGAGGCAAAAATCAATGTATTACTATATTTGTTGTGTCCTTGGGTAAGACACTTAACCCACCTTGCCTGCTCATGGTGGTCGGAGGGACCGGTGGCACCTGTGCCCGGCAGCCTTGCCTTTGTCAGTGCGCCCCAGGGCAGCTGTGGCTACATTATAGCTCATCACCATCAGTGTGTGAATGAGTGTGTGAATGGATGAATGATACACTGTAGTGTAAAGCGCTTTGGAGTCCTTACTCTCAGAGGCGCTATACAAGTGCGGGTCATTTATCATTAATCATTTCTACTACTAATGATGATGTAGGACAAATGATTATCAATTGTGATTCAAGGTAATATCATCTGAGACAATGAATAAACTCTGATGAAACATGACCTTATATGTTATTAAGAGTTCATTAAAGCAGCAAGCCGGAGTATGTCTTTTATTCAATGGCACCATCTAGTGGCTGACTAGCATACCACACCAAGAGTCAGTTGATCAGTTTTTTTAAGATGGCCACTTCACATTTCTTGTTCATGAATGTGCTTCTGTTGCTGACAAAAAGCTAAAACATGTTATTTTACAAGTATTATTTTCAAGTCACATTGTGTTTTCATATATTCATATTTTAAAGACTTGTTGGTGAAAAGCTAATCAGCTCTGCATCAGCCGAGGTATGTCCTTAAATTTGAAGTATGTAAGCAGTCGAACACTAGTGGTTAGTTCTGGTCGGCGCTCAGCAGTTCTGGGCAGGGGGCGTGCTTAGCAAAAAAAATAAATAAAATTGATGCATTGCTTACATCATATAAGACAATCACTTTTACGAATTTCTGGAAAATCATACATAATTTCTGAAAGGGGAAAACACCAGATCACTGCTTTAAGAGACTCAGAAAAACGTGATGCCTGGATTTATAAAATAAATCTGGTTGAGTTTTATTTAGATTTGATTGGTAATAAAATTAATCTTAACCCATCTAATGCCATTGTGAAGAGCAGCCTATGCACCAGTGTAGTGAAATTTTTCGGGGATCCGGTCAGCAAGCGAAGCCGTCTTGGCAAAGCAAGTGAGTGGACTTCAGATGTATGCGAGGGTCGTAGGGCCCCTCAGAATACGCACGACTGGTCGAAGAGATACGTCTTGTGGAGCTTCTGGCAGACTGTTTCATGTTTGATGAGTTGTTTTGCAGATTAAACAAATAAATGGTTGATTCTGAAAAAGGATGGTTCTTTATGCCGCTAAAATTACATTTTGTTGAAAGATCTGGCTTGATCCCCAACAAGAGGTTAATTTAGCATGAAGGCTGGACTCCTTGCTGAAGTGCCAATTATAGGAAGTGTTTCCCCTTTTAAGGATTTGTTGTTTAAAAGTTTTGGACCAACCAGATTTGAGAAATTTTATTGGCATTTTCAACGAGTCCTCAGACCTCCCCTTTCTCAGACACCACTAGTGCTTAATATGTGAAGTCATTTATTGATACTGACATTAATATGTGGCATGACTGATAAAAACCATTATTAAATCAAGTAGACTCATTGGTGTTTTTAAGATCTGAAATAAGGCATTTCAATAATAAACGTTTATGTTGATTCATTCATTACTGTAACGAAATCAAGATATAATCAATCCACTTTAGATTAAACATTCACTGTAGATTAAACAGAATATGATTGTAATCAACTTGTAAGCTGAAAGAAATTATTTTATGAGACAAATATAAAATTCTTTTATTAGACTTAAGTCTCCTCTCTTGGAGGAGACCTTGTGAGTGCAGATACTGAAGCAGGAGAGCGGGTGTTATGATGGCGTGTCCAGATGACCAGGGTTGGAACGAAACAAAACGGGACTCTTCAGTTATGGGGAAGCATACAATATTCCAGGCTGGACACTTAACGTCTGATGGCCGCTGCCCACTGGTAGGGCAGGTTGTTGACAAATCTCATAATTGTTGCATTACATGGCCTTCTCCTACGCTATTGTGTCATCCTAAAACTACTACGATTGTCATGGACAAGATACACCAATAACCGTACAACAGTCTCCTCTTTTCAGGGTTTATCTTTGTTTCTTCTTTGCAGTTTCAGAGTCAAGAGACCACTGTGTCCCAAAAATGACTATTTTTAGTCTATTTGTAAGTCCGATGTGTTGTGTACCACGCACGCAGTGTGAGCAGTTAAGTCGCATCCAATGACTGAAAAAGTGGAACATTGTGCCCCCGGCTTATGGATGCACTAATTGGCACAGAGACAAATCAGTGACTTTTTAAAAACAGATCTGCAAGGAAACATGTACACTTTGTTTACAGCCACTGGTGGTCAGAAAGCAACCAATTGCTCCTTCTAAGAGGCTCATAGAATCTGTGACATTCAAAAACAAAGCAGACTCCCCCATTTCTTTGACTTGTGCATTCAACGAACCAGATTTTTTCTTGCTTTCTGTCAAAAATATCTTTAAACATTTCTTTCTCCCTGAGCCCCTCTTTTTTTACGTCCAGTTTTTGTACCGCCTTCGATTGTGTCTTTTGTCTAACATCAGTCGATACAAGATCATAGTACCAGGTTGAACCCGCTCTTGCCCTTGGAATCCACTTAATTCTTGGACTCAAAAACTTAAACTGTGGCAAACATTCCTCAGAGTTTCTGCTCTAAATGGACATGATAGCATCACACAGTTGTTGTCTAATGACCCTGGTTACAGCCAATGCCCTCATGTGACTTGTGCTTAAAGCACTGTGACTGTTTTCACTCTTCATCTTAGGGCACATTTTGACATTTTCACAGTCACAAAAGACTTGTTTGAAATTTCAAGGATTTCTGCTTAACATTCTAATGATAAGCCATAACAAGTACTCACTCCATGTTGTCGTTCTTTTTTAAAACACAGAAACGGTTTTGTTACCTGTTATTGACGCTACAGTTTCGCCGACGGCTGCCGGCTTCTTCAGGCTGATGCTGATGGTGGCGCGTCACTTCCTTCTCCGTTTATCTGCGGGCAGCAGAGGACGTTGTCGCCCTCTACTGCCTGCTCTCCCCTCTCCGACAATGCAGTCCCATGCGTGGTCCAGCGTGTAAACTCCGTCGTCCCTGTTCATGGTCCCACATCCACGTCTCCTTATCTCGATTGCTTCCTTGATCCATCTTTTGTATTTTTGTTGTTCAGTGGTTATGATCCATGTGTTGTCCCAGTCCATTATATGGTTTTCTCTTAAGCAATGATCTGTTACAGCTGACTTTTTTTATTGTACTTTCTGCTTCTTCTTTTGCTGCTCTTGTGTGTTTTCGATTTGCCTCTTTCTCGCACTCCTTTCTGTGTTTTACTGTTCGTGTGTTGAGTTGGCGTCCGGTTTCTCCTATGTATGTTTTATTGCAGAGTTTGCATGGGATTTCGTAAATGACTCCACATTTTTGTCCAGCTGATATTTTGTCTTTTGGGTGCACTAGTCTGTTTCTAACTGTTGTGTATGGTTTTGTTGGTGTGTTTATGTTGTGTTTTTTCATTGTTGCTCTTATTTTTTCCGTTATGCCTCTGATGAATGGTAGGGTTATCGCTGGTTTTGGTTCTTGTCTTTCTGGGTTTCTGGTTCTTTTTTGGGTTGTCCTTTGCTTTCTGTTTTTGTTTGTCGTTTTCCTTTGTTTATTGCCCATGTCGGGTATCTGCAGGTCTTTAAAGCATGTTGTATGTGTTTGTCTTCTTGTTTTCGGTCTTTTTCTTCTGTTATTATGTTTGCTCGGTGATATAATGTTCTGATTACTGACATTTTGTGTATGGTAGGGTGTTCTGATGTCCATAATAGATATTGGTCTGTGTGTGTTGGTTTCCTGTATGTGTCTATGTTTAGGGTCCCGTCGGTCTGTCTGGTGATTTTCATATCCATAAAAGCTATGCTGCCTTCTGTTTCTAACTCATAAGTGAATTTTATGTTGCCCGTGTCGTCAATGTTGTTTAAGTGTTGTGTTGGTGTTTTTGTTTGACCTTTTGGTATGACAAACACACCAACAAAACCATACACAACAGTTAGAAACAGACTAGTGCACCCAAAAGACAAAATATCAGCTGGACAAAAATGTGGAGTCATTTACGAAATCCCATGCAAACTCTGCAATAAAACATACATAGGAGAAACCGGACGCCAACTCAACACACGAACAGTAAAACACAGAAAGGAGTGCGAGAAAGAGGCAAATCGAAAACACACAAGAGCAGCAAAAGAAGAAGCAGAAAGTACAATAAAAAAAGTCAGCTGTAACAGATCATTGCTTAAGAGAAAACCATATAATGGACTGGGACAACACATGGATCATAACCACTGAACAACAAAAATACAAAAGATGGATCAAGGAAGCAATCGAGATAAGGAGACGTGGATGTGGGACCATGAACAGGGACGACGGAGTTTACACGCTGGACCACGCATGGGACTGCATCGTCGGAGAGGGGAGAGCGGACAGTAGAGGGCGACAGCGTCCTCTGCTGCCCGCAGATAAACGGAGAAGGAAGTGACGTGCCACCATCAGCATCAGCCTGAAGAAGCCGGCAGCCGTCGGCGAAACTGTAGCGTCAATAACAGGTAACAAAACTGTTTCTGTGTTTTAAAAAAGAACGACAACATGGAATTAGAAATAACACACAGCAAGAACACACCTAACAAGTACTCACGTTCTGTTTCTGCTGCAACAGCCTTCCTTTATTTGCATCATTGAAAACTGTCACAGATAACACAAACTGACAGACTGCAGTAAGTATTTTTACATTAAATTCTTAAAACGCTAAATGAAAGAGGAAAGATGATCTTTGGTGTTAAATGTTGTTTTCACTGATTTTTTTAACTTACTGTGGGACTTCTCAAGAATCTAACGAATGAAGATTGTCAGGACTAGTAATGTGGATGGGAAAATGTTTGCATGCCTCTAGATTGATTCTGACATCTTAGCATCATGTGACACATTTTTAGGATGTTCTTCAAACAATGTGCCCTTTGCTGATCTCTGCAGGAGGACTTGAAGGCTTGGACTTCAAATATCACCAACTCCATAACTGAACATGAGTCGATGGCCAAGTGGGACAAACCAGGCCCCTCGACCATGGACCCCGATCGCTCAGAAAGGAAGGAGAAGTCAGAGGGGGATGCAGATATCCGGTCAGAAAGGTCTGAGCTGGTGGAGGGGGAGGAGAGGTCAGAGAAAGAGAGGTCAGAGAAGGGCGAGGGCTCTGAGAAGTTAGACACATCTGAAATTGCCGATAAGTTTGAAGGTGGTGCAGGGGGGTCCAGCACATCTGGAAGAAGCAAATGAGGAATCCCTTTGTGTCTTCATGTAATTCACTGACAAATGGGAGGGGTGGACAGAGAGCATGTTTGCAGACCCTCAGCCACAGAGGCTGAACACACTGAGGCCACGACCACTCAGCTGATTCTTCTAACTGTGACAGACACATCCTCAGCCCCTCCCCTTCACCTGGGCAACACATCAGCGCTTGTATAGTGCCACCTGCTGGTTGAAAAGGAGGTCGACTGAGAACAACAGACAGTCTTTAACAAGGTGTCCCAGGATTTTGTCACTGTCACGTTCCATTGTTGATCATTTGGATTCACAGAATCTTTCTGTATGCATCTTTGAAATTGTAATGCTGTGTCTGTCAGGACAAACCTGAGGTGTTGGATGAAATGTTTCACATTATTAAAAAAGAAAAAACATTTTTGAAGCAATACACTTTTTTATTTTTTCTCTTGGTCAGAGAATGAAAGAGGGAGCTGAAGCAAAAGTAATGTGAGAACAACATGTAAAGTCTATCGTTTGTCACGTTCACTTGAGCTTGGTCCAGGAGCACCTTAGACATGTGTATAGTATCATAAAGGCATTTATTCCCATCACATGGCTAGCTTTGAACCCTGTTAATATAATGGAATGCTGGTGTTTCCATCTCACTTCAGTGGATTCAATGAATACACATTTCTACAATTTATTTTGAGTTGTTACAGATGTCATTGAAATTATTTATTCATGATGTTAATGTAAAAAAGAGCTTTCTAACAAATTCCAATCCATCAAACTGTGTTGTGTTTGAAGGGACAATGCTCTAGTTACACTAAGCCAATGAGAACAATGCTTTTGTACACGACGAGAACCCAAACATTGCATGAAACTGTCTGTTACTGCACCTGTTAAACTTGACTTTATTTTCCTGACCTTGACATTAGTTGGGCAGTGTAGGATGTGCAATAATTAATTGTGAGAACTTCCATCCTGACTCCTTTAAGTCAAGACAGAAGTTTGACAAAGCAGGGTTGTCATCTCTTCTTGGTGAGCATGAGAAGAGAGAGCTGCAACCGCCAGCTCTCCTTTACCTGGAAGACGATTTACAATCCAAACAGCCCCTCTGCTGTTTGGAACATGTTTGTTTTTGTCCACAGAATGTACTGGCATCAGCTGTGAAGTGTTCTGTCACCACCAAGTCTGTGGTGCCCTAAATTGTAAGCCCCTAAAGCCATCATCTGTGCCCCCCATCTAAGGCTAGAACAGATTGCCTCTCCACCAAAGGCCAGTTACCTGTAAAATTGTCACCATTCAAGTGATGAGTTGTATATAGATACATTTGTATGTATACCAGTAAACCCTGTGCTCTAATAAAACAACTCTGAACTCTTAACTGAAGTGAGTACAACTTAAACATTTGTATTTAAGCCACAAATAAAACAGTCATCACTCAAGCAAATTGACGTTTATCACATTTAATTGAAAAATATGCAAATTAAGAGTCACTGTTACGTAATATAGCGTGTATATACACCAACACCACTATCTATTGATATTAAAGCCTTTGACTAGGGAAGAGCAGCAGGACATACTGTAGGTATGCTTCTTGTATTTTTATATACCTATATTTATTCATTTCAGATTCAGGAATTGTCCCCGAGCCCTAATGTAGTCTTGTTGAAATAGCTGTGTGTCTGTGGCATGTGTTACATGTGACCAACAAAATTAGCCCAAACAGCTCCGTAGGTGTCAGTGTGATCTCTGAGAGGAACACTGGTCTAGGTACAGCTTCTTATCAGACGTTTTTACACATGTGGCTATGAATGAACTTTCTGAATTGTCCTAAAAATGTTGCTGTTTTGCTTACAACCAAGAAAATGGAGACGCTGCACATCCACTGTGCAGCGGTGCAGCCAACAGTCCTTCCGATTTGGTTGCCATGGGCCTCTTTTTCATTTTCCATCATTTGAGATTGCACCTTAAATGTGTGATAAAGACTTCTTAACTTGTCTTCCTTTCTCAAAACACCAAAATGACGTGTGAGCGGTAGCACTGTCTGAAAACCCCAACAGAAGAATGGTGGCGAAACGCCTGCTGTTACCTGCAGAAGAACGAGATGCTGGTCTCTCACTGTTCGTTCTTACATAAGTGCCATGTTATCCAGTTTGCTGGAACAGTGCTTCAGTGGAGGAAACCATTGGTGGTTATTTACGATCTGACAATGAAACCCATTATTCATCATTTTAATGGAATTGGGTGAAACAGTTATTTCCTGTGACTGTAACTGTCCTGATTTGTGGCAGATATTAGTTCGATATCATCATGTGCATTTAACGTGTTTGCCTCTCATCACTTTTATGAAACACACAGGGAATATTTACAACTATGTAAGAATAAAGCAGTCAGTTAGATAGGCAACTTAAACCGTGACTGGAGAAAAAATATTGTGCAGAACCTTTTTCCATGGTCTTAAAAGTGTGTATGTCTTTGTTAATTTACATTACAACTTGCTGCTATGACATTAAATAAACCTTCAAACTTGCTGAGACAAACTTGACGTGAAATTGATGTGAACACATCTGCAGGACACCCACAGTCTTCAGTCAGAATCAACCTGAGGAGACAGATTAGCTTCATAGTCTCTAAACCAGAAACCGTTGGGATGCTGGGGAGAATGGAAACAACTACAGAGTTGTTTTTTTTACATTTATTTTATTTCCAAGAGCATAGATGAGATGTTTCCTTCTTGGACTCATCGTTTTTATCTGTCAGCTCTTTGTTGTTGATTTTTTTTAATCTACATATCTATTTGGTCATAGCCAGTGTAGTTATGGTAATGAGCTAATTTTTTCCCATTGTCATTGCTTTAAAGCTTCTTTCCGGAGTATTTCTCTTATCCGATGGCATCATCTAGTGGCTGACAAGAATATCACACAAAAATTCTGTTGCTCTGTTTGTTTAAAATCGCGACTTCATGTTTCTGTTTATAAATGTGCTTCTGTGGCCGCCAAACAGAGCTAAAATACGTTTTACGAGTATTATTCTCATGTCATGCTGTGTTCCCATATATTTATATTTTAGAGACTTTCTTGTCCGTGAAAAGTTCATCAAGTCTGCATCAGCCGAGGTATTGCTTAAATGTGAAGCGTCTAAGCGGTAGTCTAACGCTATTGGTTAGTTCTGGTCGGCGCTCAGTTTCCTATTGCACGGAGCTCAGCTGCGCAGGGGGCGTGGTTAGCAAAAAAAGACGTATTTGTTACATTATATCAAAGTGCATGATAAGATAATCACTTTTATGGATTTCTGACAAATCACACATCATTTCTGAAAGGGGAAAACTCCCGAAAGCAACTTTAAGGAGGCAATGTCCACAGATGAGTTTAATCGTAATTTTGAACTAAAGTAGCATTTAAATGTTGACTGGAGGATCCAAGATGGGAAGATGATCTCCAGTTTGTCACAACAAGTGAAACAAAAATATTTGTGTTTAGATTGAATGTTTTTTAAAGAATGGTCTGAGGAATTTGCAGATTTCTTCCTCTCCATAAAAACAATAAACAGGACGATTTTTGAAAGGAGTTTAATCAACAGGAAGAAAGTAATTGTGCAGAAAGTGCTACATGAAGGATACACGGGCTTGGGTCAGAGTTCTGTGATGGTATGAACTTGGGTGGTGTCACAGTCAGTCTCGTCTCCCCAGTTTCTGTTCAGTCCTGTGTCCATGTTAGTTGCTCCCACCTGCCTCTTGCTACCCCGATCATTGAAGTTCCCAGCTCCTCATGCATTTAAATCCTCTCAGTCCTGTGTGCCTTGTCGGTTCATTGTTTCATTGTCTGTGGGCTTCATTCATTAAAACCCTTCAAACGTCCTCATCTGCCTGCTTCTGTCACTCACCCGCATTTTAGATCCTCACCCCAGCCTGCAGCACCTGACAGGTGGGGGTTCTTGGTAAGGGCTGTGCATCAGCTTGTAGTAACATTATAATGGCGTTTTGATTAAATGAACTTGTTTTTGATTGGCATTCATATTTTATTAACTTAGATGTTAAAAGTGTTTTACTTGATTAGTTTGAACTAACCCAAGCCCTAAATAAATCAAATTCAGCACATATTAACAGCATCCAATTTAGATTATTTGGGCCTGTCAGAATCATGGCTCCATGCAAATTCACCACAAGCAGCTCTTACAGTACCAGGGTATCAAATCTACAGAAGAAACAGAGTAAAATCTAAAGGAGGTGGAGTTATGGTGTATGTAAAAACCTGCATTCAAGCTGAGGAAATAGATCTGACAAATTGTGGTTTAGAATGTATTGGACTTAAAATTACATTGTCACCACACGTCTTTTACCCTCATTGTAATCTACCGACCGCCCACTTCGAACACGGATTTCTATGACAAGTTCCAAAACATGCTGACAAGGATCAATTTAGATAAAGAGGTAATAATAATGGGAGATTTAAATATGTAACTGGGAAGATAAAAAGGCCAGAAAACATCTTAAGCTAATCACAGACCGCTTTGACCTTACACAGCTGACAAAATGTCCAACAAGAATAACACAATCAACAAGAACCCAGATTGACCTAATATTTAGTAACAGACCCAAAAGAATTTCAAAACTCCTAAATATGATCACAGGTCTCTTTGACCACAACTTAGTACTTGTGGCCAGAAAATCAACAACTAAGAGATTTAATGTCCCTACTATTAAAGAGCAAGAACACTTGAACACCTAACAAAGACCAGGAACGATTTACAGTTTTTCCCAATGGTTTACACACATTTTCTGGTACTTGAGACACAATTACCACAACATGTAACCAACCCCCCTAACCAATTTTGTGAAACTACAAGCACAATTCCTGCTTTGCACTCAAATTTCAAATCTAAAACACACTTTTCTCAAAACACTACACACAATTCTCTGCTGCTGGCACAATTTTCATACAGGAACTATCTTGTTTTCACAAGGAACACACTGCTATTCAAATGTGCACACTGACTCATCACAAGGGCAAACACCTGTCACACAGTTTTACAATCAGCAAACAGAACTTTAGCATAAAAGGGCAACAGGTGAGCGCTTCTGTGTTGGAGCAATGGATGCCAACTTTGGAAACAGAGGCAGAGCCAGAGGAGTGAGAGTAAGAGGAGGAGGACGGGGAGGATGAGGATGAGGAAGAGGAAGACCAAGGACCGTAATCTCTGATGAGATCCGAGCCACAGGTGCAATTTGAAGGAAACTCAGAAAGAGTCAAAGAATTGCGATATAACTTTGTGCAAGTGAGTCCTGCAATTGATGCATACACTCAACACTGTGTACAGTAAATTATACATATTTCAATATTGTAATCATAATGACTGTGCTTCACAATAGTGACCACTCCATGTTTATTTCTGATATCGTCATATGTGTTTCAGAGAGTCCTTGAGCTAGAGGCAGCTGCAGTGGAGCACCAGTTCATCTTCATCGATGAGGTTGGGTTCAACCTCACAAAAAGACGAAAGAGGGGAAGGAATATGATTGGCCAGCGTGCCATTGTTGAAGTCCCTGGCCAGCGTGGAGGGAACATCACAATGTGTGCAGTGCTTGGCTACCATGGCATCATTCATCACCATGCTACCCTTGGCCCCTACAACTCCGTCCATCTGATCACATTTCTGGACACTCTACACAACACACTCATTCCACCAGACCAGGTAGATGGTCCAGAACAGCCCAGGTACATTGTCATTTGGGACAGCGTAAGTTTCCACCGGGCTGCTGTGGTTCATAACTGGTTCACTGGCCACCCACACTTTTTAGTTGTTTATCTCCCTCCATATTCTCCATTCCTCAATCCCATTGAGGAATTGTTTTCTGCATGGAGATGGAAGGTGTATGACCGACAGCCACAAACCCGTATACCTCTTCTCCAAGCAATGGAGGACACATGTGGAGATATAGCAGCTGATTCTTTTCATGGCTGGAATCGCCATGCTAGGAGATATTTCCCCCGCTGCTTGGCCAGGGACAACATTGCTTGTGATATGGATGAGGCGCTGTGGCCAGACCGCAACAGATGAGAGGATGCAGCATAGTTTTATTGTTTTACTGTAACTGTATACAGTAAATTTCTGTTGGATGTAGTTTATGTGTGCAACTTTGTGTTGGTTGGGAATGGGATGAACATTGTGTACAATGTTTTGTGGGGAAAATAAAATAATTTCCACCATGTATTTGTGTGTTCAGAGTGTAAAAACAATATTCTGAAATAACAACACATGCATGTATTTACTGTCTGAAGTAGGTGTAACACTGAACCAAAAAGGCTTTAGTCATTATGATGAATGGAGAAGAAGTGTTTTCCACAGTGTTTAACATTGAGCACATGAGTGTTCTGCTGGTTCTTATAAATGTCTATTCATATGATGGTTTATGTGTGTCGTTTGAAAACAAAATCACATTTTGAGGAGAAAGTACATTGTTTTGAATGTGAAGTTTAATTTTGCAGGTTAAGTGAGGGGTTTTGCCCATTGTGTGTGTATTTTGTGGATTTGTGTGTAGAGTTCTGAAAATATGGGGCATGCTTTCAGAAAATGTGTGTAAACAATTGAGAAAAACTGTAATTAGTATGATTAAAATGGCCCTAATTGCTTTGATATGTACAATAAATTCCAAAAGTATCAATAAAGTGGCATTAAGACAGATATGGTGTGGTGATCCAAACAGTTCTGTTGTAGGATGTAACTCAGACCTCCTGCTCTCCTCATTCTCACAGACATTTTCCTAAAAAGCAGTCTTTTTACACCTCTGTTGGGTGGGTATTCTCTCCATCGTGATAATAACAGCGCACCGAGCAAAAGGGAGCGGGTGTCTCATGGTATAACCATATCCCGGTATAACCATCCCTGTGTCACTGAAGGAAATTCAGATGAGCCACAGAGCTGCGTGTGTAAACGGGACGGTGGTTGAGACTCCCGATGACTTTATTTGCCAAATGCAGGAAAAGCCAAAGTGGCTGACCAGGGACGAAATTTTGATTTCAGAAGTGGGGGGGACACACCAGGCTTGTGCGGATTTGGGGTGGGGGTGTTATGTAAAGACCCTTTGACACGTCACATGCCCATCTCAATAATTTTTCCATCCTCAATATATATATATATATATATATATATATATATATATATATATATATATATATATATATATATATATCAAAGTTAAAAAATGTACAACTCTATTATCATTAATATTTATTATCATTATTGAAGTGCAGTTTTGGCTGTTGACAATGGATAGGCCATTGTATTTATTGTTTTGGGTCTTTTTTTATTGTTTTTGGTGCAACATTTTCTAACAGGGAGTGAGATTCTTTTTTTTATTTAATTTTTGTTTGTTATTTTTATTCATTTAGAAGTTCTGGTTCATTTCAATGTTAAATGAAGGTTTATTTGTTGCATTTTAAAGGGTGTACTTGCATTATTATGATATATTAACATTATATTAGTGGTTATTTTGGTCTAGATAATGTTGACAATGATATTGTTTATCATCAACAATTTTTTTGGACAAAATATCATCCAGCAAAATTTGTTACTTTCCCAGGCCTAGTCAAAAGTATAAAAAGTATTTATACATAAACGGTCCCTCCTGAGATCTGGCCGTTTGTTCATTTGCTGTGTTAGAGGACATGCTGAACTAATGTTTTACACATGATCATCACCCTAACATTTGTCACAATGATCAATTTTATGTCTATCGTATCTTCATTATTTCAACCTCACCTGTGAGCCTCCAGCCTCTGCTCCATCTCCTCCAGGCTCTCGTCCTCCATCTCCTACAGCCTCTCCTGCTGTACCTTCACCGGTCTCTCCTCCTGCATCTCTGTCGGTCACCTGAAAAAAAGATGCATGAACTATAAACAGTGGGAGATTTTGGAATGGAACAAACAGAAATATTTACAGGATGGTTCTAGTATGATTCACAATTATTATTAATATAATGTGTAAATTATTCATTACCAATTTGAGTGTATGAAAACATATTAAATATGTTTTTTCCCTTAAAAGTGTTTAAACAGTTGTTGCATTTCAACACACAAAAATAAATGGAAAAAATAAGATAAATCTAATGAAAAGTGTACATCTTTGACATTAAGCTTAAAAAAATCTGTTGACGATGATACTGTTCATTTTTCAGAGCTTTTTAATGTGAAAATATGCATTGCAATAGATAAGTTTACAATAAAGTTAAATGATAAAAGTTTTGAAGTTACACTTCTACTACTACTACTACTAGTAATAATAATTATGATGATAATAGTAATAATAAAAACATAATAATTATAATAATACGAATAAATTGTGTCTGAGGAGTCAGTTATGTGGAGGAGATTAGTTTGTAAAAGTTAGTTTTGAGTATGTTTGTGAAGGAGGAGGTGAGTTTGAGCTTAATGCAGGGGTGTCACATGTCCAACTTACGTTTTGACTTTGAAAGAAGTCTCTTATATCCACTTTCGTTTCTTGACATGCTGCCGCCTGGCTGTGCATAACTACCAAACACTCACAAATGAACACTTATTCAAATGTTATGTAATGGAAGCTGAGCTGAGCTCTGATATTACACAGCGTCTAGTTGACGATGTGACTCAGTACCGGTGTTCCCTAGCGGCTCCAAACTAGCAAAACAACGTGAGCACGTTCTGTTTACAACTTGGAGTGACAGCAGCAACAGCCAATAATACGTTAGCAAGTATCAGCAGAGCCAATAGATTAGCTTTTGGGTGGGTCTAATAGGAAACCGGTTTCCGTTTCGGTCCTAGTGCTCAATCAAATCCATTTAATGGAGCGTAACATTGTTTTTGGACGGAAAAAAGTGAAGGGGACCGAAACTGCCTTTTGAAAAAGTGGGGGGGACATGTCCCACCCGTCCCCCCCCCAAAATTACGTCCCAGTGGCTGACGGCTGCAGAACCAGAGATCGCAGGTTGACGCCTGCGCCATCTCTAGTAGAAGCGTGAGCCTGCTGCTGCAGCAGACGTAAATCGGCGGACTCGGCCTCTGCAACTGTACTGTGTCGGCGAATCAGACCGGCCGAACACGGTTTATGATTGGTCAGTCCTCGTGCACATGTGCAGATTATCCTTACTCTTTCCTTACTCTCAGAAGAACGGTTCAGAGTGCAAATGGTTTCTTTGTTGCTAATCTGTGGGGAATATCTACAAGAAAGTAGCAATGGGTCCTGAGAAATGTCGCTAGGTTTGTCGCTGGGCGCTTTTTGGGGAAAAAATAGTCGCGGGGTGTGTGTGTGTGTGTGTGTGTGTGTGTGTGTGTGTGTCAAAAAGTCGTTAGGAACAGTGTCAAAGTCGCTGAGTTGGCAAAAGAGTTTTGAGGTCTACGCATGCGCACGGCACGCCTGCGAGGGGAAGGCTACGGAAGCCGTCGCGTAACGAGTTTGTTGGTAAACTTCCTGAAAATGGTCAGCTGGGAAAAGTTGGCCGCTGCTTTGAGGAATGTCTTGAGGAGCCCTCGGGTAATGAAAAGTGTGGTGAGATACCGCGCTGTCAGCCCTGCTGTTTTAGGTTCCGTACTCGGATTGGGATTCGTCTGTTATCACCATTATCATGCTAACAACAGGACTCTGCCCTTCGCTTCTGTTCATGCTGTGGAAGAAAAAGTAAGTACACCACTCGTAAAGAGTATGTCGAGAAAATAGACCACAGAAAGTCTCTCCACTGCCATATTATTGTGTGTTTATCACGAATCATACAAGTCCATTTTAAGAAACTGTAATTACAAGTAGATAATAGTGTTAACGCACTGTTTACACATCGGCGCTTTAGCACTCTCTTCCACCCTCTAGCGGCCACTGAAGGACAAGACACTCACCTTCCTGTTGCCTATTTATTTCTATAAGTGTAAAGGTCTGATTGCTGTTTTGTTGTTAAAACGGCTTGCCCTACATAGTCCTCTTTTATATATAATATTATGCCTTTCACAATATTACCTGTAAATTTTTATTAACCATGTTGAGTTCATTTCATGATACAATTTCATCCTCTCCAAAAATCATGTGGATCATCAGCACAAAGTCTTTAAAGTTATCAAAGCAATCATGACTGGAATCTCAGTTTTAATTCATATCAGCCAGTAGGATAAAATACATTTGAGGAATTTTGGCCTCTCCTGGCTTCCTTACATGTAACCTGGTTACACGGAGGAGGGATTTGGCTCATCTCTGCACATAAATGGGAAAATCACACAGGGGAAGCGGTGAATTAAAACATTAGGAGAGGAGACGTGCGAGTCATGGTAGCAAGCCTGGCTTGCTGTGATGGAGAGAGAAAGTAGCGAGGTTGCCTGTGGCTGATGAGAGGGGAAAAAAGACAAAAAACATTCGGGGCTGAAGCCCCATCATAATCGGCTGGTGTCTTGGCTGAGTGTAATTATCATTTTATCCTATAAAATGACGATACTTGGGGCGTGACCTATTGTAGAATAAATCTATGAAATTACTATTTTGTAACAACATACTGATAGATTTCAGTGTTTGATGACCTTTGACATAACCCTTCATCTTCCATACATGTTTTTTCATTGCAGGAAACCACAGCCCCCCCATTATCTGCCAGAAAGATGCGATTCAACCAGTTTGCATCAGTGGTGTATGAACTGGAGCCCTACATGACTCCCAGAGACTTCCTGTTCTCCGTCATGCTGGAGCAAGTGGATCGTAAGCAGAAGTCCCCTTCACACACAGATCGTTTATTCCTTTTCTGCTTCGGCAGACCGCATTTTTCCAGTCATATGGGTGGATTGTTAAAATGTTTGCTGCTTCTCACATTGGCACATAAAGTCAGATCTTAGTGAGAATAAGAAATGATCATCAGGAAGGCTACTTGATTAATACGAGGATGCTGATTGTTACGATCCAGGCTGTCTAGGGGGCCTGGGGTAACATGTGAGGACGCATGTTCTCGTAGTAAAAGTAACAAAACAACATTTATTTACATAAATATAAACACAAAACACAGATTATCAAGACACATCAGCAGCAACGCAAAACGAGTAACAACTAAACTCTCATATTAATCAAATTCATACCAAAACTACGAAAGACCGTCACATAATTTCCTTGTAACCGAGTGATGTTGTAATTAAAACAAGCGAAGGGATAAAGTTTCCTTTACTCCTAAAAAGGCTAAACGGTTAAACACAGAAAGTTTCCTAAGCTCCCACCAAAGTTGTCACATTATACTTTAACCTAACAAAACCAAAAGCTGCTGAGGAGACAGCACACCAGAGAGAACCTCCCTGGCCTGCTGCTCTCTGAACTGAGGGCTGGCTGACTTTTATGCTGCTGACAGAGCTGGTCGTCAGGATCAGCTGGGAGAGTCTAACTGGGAGGCAATCTAGTGAGATTGGAGCCAGGTGCTGCATCTCCTCCCTCTCTCTCTCTCTCTCTCTCTCTCTCTCTCTCTCTCTCACACACACACACACACACACACACACACAGGGCCGGAGTGGGACACATTTTCAGCCCTGGAGTTTCAGACCCTAGACCGGCCCACTTAACGAATTATTATTAAAATCATGTTAGAACTTTATATGAATAGTCTACAAAAGCACACTACTCGGTAAAGCCTTGTTATTCAGTGCAAGAAAGAGTTGCTTTACAATGTAGGTTTATTTGAACATCAGTGCACATCTTCAACATTGTTCTTTACAACACATTCTCTAACAATATAACAATCTACCTTCTGTTCAAACAGCTCTTCTGAGATTTTCAAACCTTTAAAATGAAATGACTCAGCACTCCCTTTCACACTTTTTCCAGTTTCCCTATACTCACCTGCACACAATTAAAATAATCATCTGTAAAGCTTTAGCACATTTGATATGGAAAACACATTTTTTGTAACCAATTAAAATATTTTCTATGGCAAAATATGCAGGCTTATTTCATTTTACTTTCATTCTAATAGCGATCTGTTGTAGGCTTTAGGCATTTACTAATAAAAATACAACAGGTCACTACTATTATATGGACATTAAAATTATTATAATGAAACTAATGTTTGCTTGTTTGCACATGAGTTGGCTCACCTTCTATCCCAACAGGAGCAATACCCTCACTGCTGGCTCCTGGCTCTTCTTCTGACACTACATTGTGTGAATATTGTCACAATTCAGCATTCATTTTCCTTTTTTACACGCTTTCTGATCAATGCTGATTCATCTAGCATTTTAGAACACTTTCATATAGAGCCAGGATAGTTTTCATCATATAAATTTTAATAATATTCAGTTCACTGACTCAATAAGTAATCCTACCTGTACATGTCCGCTCTGGAATGGTGGGTTTCTGCCTGGTGCTTATTAGGCCTATGGATCTTGTGGGCTACAAGACATTTTGGTGGCATCAGTCACATCATACTGTTAACTATATTACATAACGTTATGTCATGACGCCATATAATTCATTATTGATGCTTAATTAACTTGAATGGTGATTTGCAGCCGGTAAAGTTTAACATCTTGACTTGCCTTACCCGTTTTATCTTCATTTGAAGTTAAAGACCGCAAGCTTGTTTGAGAAAAAAGGTGCTCATTTTTGCACATTTAGCTGCATCTGTTTCCAGCGCTTTCCTCTTTTTAATTCTTGCCTTCTCCGCGCCACCCTTGCTCTTTCTACTTTCCATCTTTCGGTCAACTGTGTGGTCACGTGGTGCGCACAGGCGCATACAGGGGAAAAAGAAAAAAAAAACCGAGCTGCAGCCTGCAGGTAGAGACAGCCGGGAGGAGCGTATGAGATCAGCCCGGCGGCCTCAGTGCCATGACTGAACACCGGCACCAAAAAATAAAAATAAAATGATAAAAAACAAAAATGAGAGCACCGGCCCATGCGGCCCAAACATCGCGCGGCCCACCGGGAATTCTCCAGACCCTCCCGATTAGCCACTCCGGGCCTGCACACACACACACACCAAGAAGTGTTTCTATGGTTACATTGTGATTTCTTAGTAAATATTCTATTTGGTGAGAGATAAACTTTATTGTATTTATCTTAGTGAATCTATAATTAAACGGGTAAACTAGTAGTAGCACATTCAATGTCATAGAAAGTAAAATGTTATTATCAGGAGAGGGAGAATGTTTAAGTGGTTAGCAGCAGTGTTCAAGCCGATGATTAGGGCTGAATGATTCTGGAAAGTAATCTAATTGTGATTTCTTTATTCAACATTACAATTGCGATTTAATTCACGATTATTTTCTCAGTGGGCTTTTCTCATATTTTTCAACTAATGGAAGCAAAAACAAATCTATGTAACATGAACTGAATACAAACAAGTTTATGCATCTACATATTTATCTACATATACATAAACACAAGTAAAGACAATATTTTGTATTTGAAGGAGCAATGCTTCGAGCCAGGAGCACATTCCTTGAAGGAGCATAAGTATTAGCATCAACTGTGAAAACGTAGTTGCAGGAAAGAAGTGTGTCCCATTTATTGGTCTTTTGTGTTTAGAGTTTATGACGTCTTGTCCATGCAGAGCTTCCGTAGTTCAGTTACGTCCATAGCAGCTAGCCAAAATGCAGTGGGGTTAAAAATCTCTAATGGTTTTCTGGCTTTACTAAAGTATATGTCTGTACTTATTCGACTGATGACAGTTTTTACTTTTTATTAGACTCCAAATGTAATCATTTGACTTGTTCCTAATTCATTATTTTTACAAATGTCATCAGTGATATTAGCATTAGATTTCCTATGGGTTTTTCCATGTATATTAGCATTGCGCTAACCACTCGCTGCAAGTCAAATCACAGCCTTTGCGAGTAGAAAATCTCCTTTTGTCACATCGCAATTTAATTGCATGTGCAATTAATCGTTCAGCCCTAGCGCTTATCCAGAACTGGCAACAGGAGCTCAGAGAAGCTCAGTTTGCTTTATTTATATGGCACCAGTTCTCAGCAAGAGTCGTCTTCAGGCACTTTACAAAGTAAACGTTTCAACTGAACCTACATATCATTGAGTTCAGTTCATGTATTCTGCCTATTAGCAAAAAGTTTATTTTGTAAGAAAAGCTCAGCATATTGCATCGAGAGCGGACTCTTTTGTTTTGCTATGTGGACTGCAGTACCCACATTGTACCACAGGGTGTCATTCCTATTTCATGCACCTTTAACATATCCAGCATGTTACAACACACAAGTGGGTCCCCATCCAGGAACTGTTTCTGCATGAGGTTACCTTTTGTTTGTGTGAATGAGAATGAGCCCCCAGTGTAAGTTTCTACTGAATCATCTTTATTTGTCAGATAAAAAATGAGGCACAAACACTTTATCTGTTTAAATACGTTGAAAAATCAGAAACATATCTTGTTCCTTTTTGGTGTTCATTATTTATTTTACTTACTTTTTGTTGTTGTTGGTCTCGAGCTTTGGGTAGTGACCGAAAGAATGAGATTGCAGATACAAGCGGCTGAAATGAGTTCACTCCTCAGGGTGTCTTGGCTGTCCTTCAGAGATAGGGTGAGAAGCTCTGTCATCTGAGAGGGGCTCAGAGTAGACCTGCTGCTCCTCCATATCGAGAGAAGCCAGTTGAGGTGGCTCAGGCATCTGAGTAGGACGCCTCCTGGGCGACACCCTGTTGAGGTTTTCAGGACACGTCCATCCGGGAGAAGGCCTAAAGGAAAACCCAGAACACGCTGGAGGGACTATGTCTTACAGCTGGCAGGGAACTCTTTAGGCTTCCCCCGGAGGAGCTGGCCCAAGTGGCTGGGGAGAGGGAAGTCTGGGCCTCCCTGCTTAGGCTGCTGCCCATGCAACCCGACCCCGGTCAAGAGGCCGCGGATGGATGGTTGTTTGTTTGTTTGTTTGTTTGTTTTTGGGTCACTAACATGTCCACTTTGTGTCCTGCAGGAAAGCTACAGAAACGAGTTTTAACTCCACGGGTATGTTTAACAGTTTGAGCGGTGAACAGAGCGGTGTTTGGTTTGGATTAATAGCAGCGTTTGTGGTTTTATGCCGACAGGAAGTGAACAGCATGTTGGTAGCTGCGTCTAAGGCTCGGCCCAGCAGTGAGTTGTTCAGACACCTGGGAGACAAAGGTGAGCTCTTCAAGCCCTGGTCCCCTTCCCTGCTCCAGATCCAGCTGGTCGTACATCTGATGCGTGTTTGTATGCAGGTCTGATTTCCTACACAGAGTATCTGTTCCTGCTGACCATCCTAACCAGTAAGTCTCCACCAGGCTGGGTTTGCTTTGCCGTGACTTTCGTCACTCAGCATATATATGCAGTCAAGTGAAGAGAGCTGTGTTTGTGTTGCAGAACCACGAACAGGATTCCAGATAGCCTTCAAAATGCTGGATGTGGACGGCAATGAGCAAGTGGACAAAAAAGAATTTCTGAAGGTAAGGGCGCTGTTTTACCTGAGAGAAATAATAGAATCAGCGGTGACACATTCATATTTGACCAAATGTCTGAATATTTTAATGCTGCCACAAGTTGTGCTGCTGAGCGGTGAGTATGACCCAAGGCTCCACATGAAGGTGAGGGAGAGCTGCTTTTGGTCTCTTGTGTGTTTGCCTGAGCTGGCTGACGTTTGGTGTGTGCTCCAAGCAGCCTTCTCCTCTTTGAGGGCAGGAGAAGACTCAGATGAGTCCAGGTCTTGGTTCTGGTCCAGTAGACTGCATGTTTTCATGCTGCAACTTGGTGCACAAAGCCCAAACCATCCAGCGGGGATGAAAGTGCTTGGATGAATATTTGCTGTGATAAGTGAATCGTGCTTCTAGTTTTTCTTAAGTTTTTCATGATGTCCAAGAAGAAAGCAGGAGTTAAGTACAGTCAGGGTCGCTTTAGGTGGTGTTTCCTCCTCCAGAGTGGGGGCTCAGGTAGAGTTGCTGCTGTTTGTTGTTTATGTGAAAAGAGTTGGAGCGCGGCTGCATAAAGAGCTCATCGATGTTCATGCAGATTCAAACATTTTCTGAAATGAAATAAAATAAAAACTTTTTTATGCTAAAGCTCAAGAAAATCCTTGGCAAAAGTAAAATGAGGGCTCCTATGGATGCTGAGGAGGTATGTATCATCCTTATTATTCCAGTTTTTCCCTTCCTGTCAGAGTGTAAAACCTCAGAATTCCTGGATGATTCCAGACACCAGCGGATGAGGCAGAGGGCGTAAACACAACACTACAGGCTTACTTCTTTGGGAAGAACGGGGACCTCAAGCTGCAGTTTCAGGATTTTAACAGGTGAGAGAAGCTTTTTCTACAACTGTTCCTTTGAAATAAGTTTACTTTGAAGATCTCTGAAGCCGTGTCCCCAGGGGCACCCTGTGGGGGACGCTCCAGGAGTATGGGGTGGGTGGCTTTCTGGTAAGGGTCATTCAGTCCCTTTACCAGAGGAGCGTGAGTTTGGTCCGCATAGCCGGTAGTAAGTCGGACCTGTTCCCGGTGAGGGTTGGACTCTGCCAGGGCTGCTCTTTGTCACCGGTTCTGTTCATTACCTTTATGGACAGAATTTCTAGGCGTAGCCGTGGTGTTGAGTGTGTCGAGGTTGGTGGCAGGAGAATCTCGTCTCTGCTTTTTGCGGATGGTGTGGTCCTCCTAGCTTCATCCAGCTCTGACCTTCAGCTCCTGCTGGGTAGGTTCGCGGCCGAGTGTGAAGCGGCTGGGATGAGGATCAGCACCTCCAAATCTGAGACCATGGTTCTCGACCGGAAAAGGGTGGCTTGCCAACTCCGGGTCGGGAGAGAGGTTCTACCTCAAGTGGAGGAGTTTAAGTATCTCGGGGTCTTGTTCACGAGTGAGGGTAGGAGGGATCGGGAGATCGACAGGTGGATTGGTTCGGCGTCTGCAGTGATGCGGACGCTGAGCTGATCTGTCGTGGTGAAGAGGGAGCTGAGCCAGAAAGCCAGGCTCTCGATTTACCGGTCGATCTACGTCCCAATCCTCACCTATGGTCATGAGCTTTGGGTAATGACCGAAAGAACGAGATCGCTGATACGATCGGCCGAAATGAGTTTCCTCCGTAGGGTGGCCGGGCTCAGCCTTTGAGATAGGGTGAGGAGCTCGGACATTCGGGAGGGACTCGGAGTAGAACCGCTGCTCCTCCGGATCGAAAGGAGCCAGTTGAGGTGGTTTGGGCATCTGGTCAGGATGCCTCCTGGACGCCTCCCCGGGGAGGTGTTTCGGACATGTCCTGCCGGCAGGAGGCCCCCGGGTCGACCCAGGACACGTTGGAGAGGTTACATCTGTAATCTGGTCCAGGAACGCCTTGGGGTCCTGCCGGAGGAGTTGGTGGAGGTGGCCGGGGAGAGGACGGTCTGGAGCTCCCTAGTTGGGATGCTGCCCCCGCGACCCGGATTAGCGGAGGACGACGACGACGAGATCTCTGAAGCTTCACACCTTGATGTTTTTCTTCAGGATTTTTAATACCTAATTAAGTCATGGTTCTCCAGGCGCTTTAGCTTTTTAAGCAACAATACTAATAGTCAGCTTCTAGAACTACTACTCTAGTATTCTGTAAACTTGTGTCTCTCTGCCTGGCATTTTAGTTTGTTGTCATCAAACTCTGAGTTTGATTTTTTTAATACACACAAGTTGGCTGATTGGGCACAGAGAAGTTAAACTTGTTCAAGAAAAGTTGACATGAAATGAAAACTTACAGATTTATGGTTGTTGACTGAAGGCAGGAGCTGCATCTGGGTGGTGGTCCAGCAGCTTCTGCAGGTCATCAGCCTCATGTCATCTGAGACACGTTTGCAGTTTGACTTGTTTCCATGCAGACCTCTGTGTTGGAATAATCTTTAAAGACTTTACTTGTATTAGTCATACCTCTGGTCATGTTTAGACTCTTATTACTTTAAAATGAGAGATAAAAATAAATGTTAAAATAAAATTATAAATTAACTTTTCTTACCTTTTTACTTTTCATAACTGGCATTGCGACATAACATAACTTATTTGTGTGTGTGTGTGTGTGTGTGTGTGTGTGTGTGTGTGTGTGTGTGTGTGTGTGTGTGTGTGTGTGTGTGTGTGTGTGTGTGTGTGTGTGTGTGCAGATAAGAGTTATTGAACCATATCTGGTGTTTTTCTGTCCTGGTTCTGGTGGAGACATGGTGCTCATTAGCGTTAGCATTAGCATCAGTGTATGTGTAAACAGCTTTCTTAAAATACCACATTTTTTATTAATTTATTCCTTCCAGCAATTTAAGAAATGTTCCTGCAGGCCTGAAACTCAGCTTTGTGTGTCTAACGCATCAAATTAGGGCTGCTCGATTATGGCAAAAACGATAATCACGATTATTGTGACTGAAATTGAGATCTCAATTATTTAAGACGATTTTTCAGTTAATGTTGATTTTAATTGGTTGTTTATTTATTCAGTCATTAAATTGCTCAGGGCACAATCAGGACAAAAATAAATAAGAAAAAGAAGGAAACAAAAACAACTGGTTCCTGGTACAAAAAGGCCAACATACTTGCTCATATTTATGACCCAAAGAGCTGAGCTTTAACTCGTTTAAGCCCAACCAGTACAGACCCAAATATCCAACCAAGACAGCAAGAATTGTACAGTGGCATTTATATCATAAATAAAAACATAAACATGTATGTTTTAGTGACCGTCACAAAATGTTGCATAATATTTATTTAGTCCTGTCAAGCGGTGCTGTAGGAGTGTACTAGCAACGTGTTCTCAGAGCGAGTAATTATTATTTATCAGCGTGAGAAACTATTTCTGTCTTTTTCTAAACTATTTATTTACAGGTCCCATCAGTTAATATAATGATTGTCCCAACCACCGCAATCGGAGTTGAGCTGCACCCCCCAACCCAGTCTCACACCAATCAAGGGCAAGCTGCACGTGTGTTTGACGTGCCGCACGTGCACATTTTGCCTATTTTTTGCGGCTCAGTTAGCCTGCAGGTACGGTGTGTGTCACTCACTCCGGTTTATCCAAGACAGAGCTGGCTCTGAGAGGCGTTTATTTTCTTTTTTTGCGACCGACACATCACTACATCATTCCCTTTCCTGAAGTCCGGAAGGAAGGACCGGAGCGCAGGAGGAGTGTTTTGCTAACCTGCAGGAAATGTCGACGACAGTTTTCCAGAAAGTAGCTAAGGGTTGCCAGAGCTGTTTCTAGATTGTTCTCTACGTACTTTTAGAATTTAAAAAGTCAAGAAGGGGGTCTGAAAAGATGTTAGAAATAGCGACTAACTCGCTAAGTTGGCAACACTGTGGGAAGAGCGCTTGATTTGCAATTCGGAGCAGCGCAAGAGGGAGGAGAAAATAATCGGCCCGTTTTGTTTTTGTAATTGTTCAAAACTCCGATCGTAATCGGGATTAAAATTCGATTAATTGAGCAGCCCTACGTCAAATGAAAATCCTGTTACTACCTTGGCTTCCTGGTGTCTGCAGAGGACTACAACTCAAAGCCTCTGTTTATGTGTTTGTCAGAAACTTTTATCCCAAGCAGCTTACAAAGAGGATGTAATGAAGATTTAAGGTCAAGGCTAACCTTAAGCCACCCAGAGGGAGCAGTAGGCTCATCGGAGTGTGCGCACTACTGCGGGTGCAGTAGAGGAGAAGGGTGTCAGATTTGGTGCTTTCTGGTTTTCCTTAGTTCCTCACCTCTGTCCTGAGCGGGATCAACTTGCTACAGGCAATGGGAGGACTTCCTCACCATCCTAACTTCTCTTATTGTCGTCCGTAGTTACTTACCCTGAGCCTTTTACTGACATGTCTGAGTTCCTGTGATGGTCTCTGTTCAGGTTCATGGAAGACCTGCAGGCTGAGGTCCAGGAAATTGAGTTCTTACAGTTTTCCAGAGGCATGGACACCATGAGAAGAGAAGACTTTGCAGAGTGGCTGCTTCACTACACCAACGAAGAAGACAATGAAGTGTACTGGGACAACATGAGGAAGAAGATCCCGTCTGGTCAGGTACGGACTCTCCTTCTCTTGTCAGCTTCAGAAGAAATTTGGTCTAGAAGTGAACAAACACATTTTGCCCCCAGAGCATCTCATTTGAGGAGTTCAAAGCCTTCTGTCTGTTTACCAACAACCTGGAGGATTTTGCCTTTTCCATGAAGATGGTGACGGAGTCCAATCGTCCTGTGGGATTGGGTAAAGTGTCCTTGTTGGTTTAGAACCGTGTCCTCTCCTCTCATCACTAGGAGCAACAGCTGAGTGTTCTTTTCCTTCTTTTGAATGTAGCTGAATTCAAGCGAGCAGTGAAGATTGCCACAGGCCATGAGCTCTCAGACAACGTTCTAGACACAGTGTTTAAGCTCTTCGACATGGATGGAGACAACTGCCTGAGCCAGAAGGAGTTCATGGGAGTGATGACAGACAGAGTGCTGCGTGGCCTGAAGGTGAGCTGCAGGCATGGTCTGCGTATTTATGAATATTTTTTAAAACAAACTTTATACTTTAGAAATAAAGTTATAGCATATTAGCTTGTAGCATCATTCTGCTGCTTCTGTTAGTCATGCTAACAGCAGAGAACGAGCTGCTCCAAACTGGGCACCAGTGCACCTGCAGCTGCTACACTCTCGGTTTCCTGCAACCAGCTTGTTACAGCAGGGATTTGGTTGATATGGTGGACTACATACTGTATGTAGTTCCATGGCCAGCCAATGTATAAGTACACAGCTTGGCCAAAAAAAGTCTCCACCTGGATTTAACTAAGCAAATAGGTAGGACCCTTCTATTGGATAATTACTGCATAGGTATTATCTTTCAGTTCTTTCAAGTTATTTAACCCCATCTGGTGCAATCAGTTGCCGCTCATTTCTTAAACAACCATGTGGAAAAATAACTGGTGCTCACAGATAATCAGTCTGGTTTTAAGCCTGAGCTTGGTTCACATGTGTGCTTATGCTCTAAAGGAAATGGTGACCAAATACAGAAACCAGAACTCATCAGTCTCCGTGCTTCATAGATGCATGCAAGGCATTTGATAGAGTTAACCATAGGAAACTATTCATACAGCTGTTGCAAAGAGGTGTCCCAAGATACATTGTACACTTCCTGGTTTATTGGTATGGTCAGCAAACGCCACAGATAAAATGGGGTAACAGTATCTCAGAGCCGTTTAAGCTCAGCAATGGAGTCGGACAAGGAGACGTTCTGTCTCCTCTTCTTTTTAACCCTTACATAGATGACTTATCAGTGAGGTTGGCCTGCAGGACTGGCTGTGCAGCTGGTGGTGTTGTCATAACTCCTCTGATGCATGCAGATGGCTTAGTGCTAGCACCGCTGGTCTGCAGCAGTTACTAGATAGCTGCTCTGACTATGGAGTAGAACACAACGTTGTGTTTAATGCAGCTAAGAGTGTGGTTAGGATTTACCGGGCCAAGGAGGACAAGCAAAAGTTACCAGGTTTTTATCTGTCAGAATATGTGATAAGTGTCAGCTAGAAAGTCAAATATCTTGGTCATATTATCACAGAGGACATGAGATGATGATGATATGTATAGGCAGTGCCGTTGTTGTATGCTCAGGAAAATACACTCCCTCTTAAATTTGGGTCTTGTTCTGATAAAGATAACCACACACACACACACACACACACATATATATATATATATTTGTGTGTGTATATATATATATATATATATATATATATATATATATATATATATATACATACATAATTATATTACCTAATATTACCATTCCTCAATCTCAGTGAAATCTTTGTTTTTCAGGTGCAGCCTCAGACCGGCATCTCTGGCTACTGGAGGTGTGTGAAGAGAGAGACCCTGAAGGGCGCTCAGGAGGCCCTGGGTTCTGACAGGTGCCCCATCTGAACCACTATGATCACCCAGTTTAAAGTTGTGTGACTGACACCACATAGAGGAATACTTCTACCACTAATCTGATTATGATGTCCAAGTCTGGTTGTGCGGTTTACATCTTTTTTGTTGTCACTATTTTAATGACTTGTTTCTATTCAGTGTGCATAAACTATCAGGTTTACAGCTGAAGCTCAGGCCTGTTATCCTTATGCGGGACTAAAAAGGGTTCATGATAGCTGGGATCACACATTTTGGATCTGCCACTGTAACCATCTTTCTGCTGTAAATCTGATGAATTGAGTACTAGTTTACCTAAAGGAGGAGATGGCAGGTTAACAGCTGAGTGGGCCGGTGTGATGCTTGGTGTTTGGTTTTCTATGTTTCTGCCAAAATCATAAAATAAAAGGATTTAAAAGAAAACCTGAGTCTGAAGGATTCAAATGAATAAGAAGGCAGCTACAACTATTAAGTCCTTTATTATAGAATAGACCTGTGCAGATCACATGTGCACGTTGGTTAATCACTGGAAATGGGGATGCTAATTATCTTGCCATACATATAATTCCAAAAGTAAATAAAACAAGTTTACATCTGTTATAGATGGGCTAATTAGTGACTGATGCCAAGGTTATCCGTGAGTACAGCATACACGGCTACAAGAAAGGTACAGAGCATGAAGCCATCTTTGGTCTTCTCATCACTAGAAAACAAATACATAAAATTTGTATTGTATCAAAAATAGAAATTACAAAGCCATATTGAAAGTAAATTCACATTTTTGACATACAACAGAAGAATACCACTAAACATGTTGGATTATATTTTTGCACTCCTTGGCATTAAGGACCAAATGGTTTTTCTGTATTCTGGAATCCGTTTCATTTTTATCCTGCAAATATTCTTTAGCATCACTCTGCCGAACAACAAATTTTACCATCTTGAATCTGCTAGACACAGGGTGCAACGTTTAAAAACACCCCCACCCTAATAAGATTAAAATGTCAGATTGTCAAACAAACATGTGCTTTCAGTCCTGGGATTCTGGAAATGAGGCCTTAGCCCCAGTGGGTCAGGAACGAGTGACACCCCCCCACCCCCCAACACACACACACAGCCGCCCCCCCCCCCTCTCACAGGTGAGCTTTCTTTAGTCCTTATTAACCGATCTTTGAGTAGCTGTCCTGGGGTTCTGAGCTTCTTCGCTCTTGGAGGCACAGATGATGAAATGCAGCTGAAGTGGACTTCTGCTTGAGATAAAAAGGGAAGTGCTTTAGAGAATTTCATCCCCTGTGGAGAAAGGAAACAAAGTGGGAACATTTTTCAGTGTGAAACAACCAGCAGCTTTGTCACTCTATATAAGATTACCAGTTTTAAAAAAGCACGACTGTATAAAATCTCACGAGACTCATTCTGTAGCACAATACCAGCCACAGCTGGCCTGATTCCTGCTATACCTTCACCTGAAGGCAACAACATGCCCTGCTATATGCCATAAAAAATGGCTGTCTCCTGCTGTAGGATGGGCCTCCAGCATGAGCAAGTCAACTGAAAAACCAGCTTAGAGGTGAGGTGTCAGCATATCAGTAAATGATACGGAGTACAACTCCACATCCTGCCATTTTCTTCCCAATATCTTCTTGTTCCTGAAACAGCACCAGAGCTCTTCCCCTCAGAGATGAACTCACAAGGCATTCATTTATACTGGAGACCAATGCAGAAAAAAAAAAACTGAACAAAATGTGACTATAGTAATGTGATGTGGAAGCTGTTAAAAATCCAAAATAATATTAAATGTAAAAAATAAACACAAAGCGGATTTATTTTCTGTCTCTCAGTGAGCAGCTGTGATCAGCAGCAACACAGATGATGGTACCTGCTGGATCAGCGTCACAACCTGGTGGAACATTAAAACCAGGATGAATATCTGTCATATTTACTACCTAAAACTAATGTTTTTAAATCACTCTAAGAAGTTTACTTCAATCTGCTGCTCCTCTGAAATCAGGGTTTTTCCTGCGTTCAAATTTGCATGGCGGCCGCCTCCAGCTAATGTTGTGCCGCCCCAGCCTGATTTCACTCTGCCCCCAGCTACATGGATGTTATTTTAACTGCAGTTGCAGCGTTGCGCCACTACAGGGGCGCTGTATCAGCAGCGGCGCACCGAAAAGCACTAAAACCGCTGCAGACAAAGAAGATCAAAAATAGCTTTTGTCCCTAGTCAGTACATATCTATGGTTGGTGCTATTGACATCCTGATTGTCCCCCAGGCTCTTCCATATCAGAGCTGTACAGTGCGGCGAAAAAAACTGTCTGTGCGTGTCTGTCTATGTTTAAACGTAGAACTGGTGCAACATCTTTGATTTACTATTTTCCCCAGAACTTTATTGAACAAAAGTAAGTTACGTGTAAGAAAAATGCTTTTTACTGGTGCATAGTGTGGTCATCTGGATGTAGTGGAGGAAAATACAGGAACCAGCAAAGGCAGAACCGGTCCAAAGTTTGGGATCAGAAGTGCAGCTACATGCAGATTGGCTAATGCTAAAGCTAACGGGTAGCAGTCTCACGATCAAGTGGCGCACAAAAAATATATGATGACGGTAAAACTAAGAAAGACTAAACTCTACAAGCGGATGAAAAGTCCCCACCATCCTGTTTATTCTGCATCCTGCAGCGTTACGGATCAGAGCCGCTGCAGATACGAGTCACATACATTACTGCTGGTGCAGGAAGTATGGCAAGCCGTTGTAGTATATAATTCACAAACGCTTCTATCTTTGAACATAATTTAAACTGGATTACTGCCAACCCGTACATAATAGACATGCCACCATTACATTGTCGTCGTCGTCTTCCTCCGCTTATCCGGGTCTGGGTTGCGGAGGCAGCATCCCAACTAGGGAGCTCTAGACCGTCCTCTCCCCGGCAGGACCCCAAGGCGTTCCCGGACCAGATTGGAGATGTAACCTCTCCAACGTGTCCTGGGTCGACCTGGGGGCCTCCTGCCGGCAGGACATGCTCGAAACACCTCCCCGGGGAGGCGTCCAGGAGGCATCTGCCCAAACCACCTCAACTGGCTCCTTTCAATCCGGAGGAGCAGCGGTTCTACTCCGAGTCCCTCCCGAATGTCCGAGCTCCTCACCCTATCTCTAACCCCCAAATTCCACTACCTCCGCTCCGCTCCGGTCCGCCCCCGCCTTCCGCAGCCGCTCGCTTCCGAACTCAATTTTACTGGTACCCGCTCTACAACGGCTCCGCTCCGGTGCGGAGACCTGAGGGGGACAAACAAGCATGCGCGGGATTTTCGAGATCTTGCGATACAGTCCGAGCAATAAACGCGGAAGTTAGATCCAAACACCCGTTGTGCGGGAGAAGCATCGGAAATGAGCTGTTTAATCTGCCCATCATTGTGTTGAGAGATCAGCAGTGTTTGGATCAACAAAGTGTGACTACTTTGATAGTGGCAACTGTATTTATGGCTTATTTTTGTGCATTTAAACTTCAGCCGCCATTGATAGTTGTTAAAAGTTGTTAAACCTGTGCATATGAAACAAAAAACGCCTTTTGTTTAGCGATTTATTGTGAAAAACGGAAGATGTGCTTGCTCCTTTTCCTGTTGGGCCGTTGTGATTTCTGTCCATTTACTGCGGAGGTGCTCCGGCGTCCGGCAAAAATAGGATCGATTCTATTTTTGCCGGACGTCGGAACAGAGGGCGCCGCACGGCGCCGCACTGCCGGAGCACGGCCGCAGTAGTGGAATTGCTCTGATTGACTAGAACGGGACCGATTTTGCTCCGGCGTCCGTGTCGGAGCGGAGCGCAGCGGAGCGGAGGTAGTGGAATTTGGGGGTAAGGCTGAGCCCAGCCACCCTACGGAGGAAACTCATTTCGGCCGCTTGTATCCACGATCTCGTTATTTCGGTCATTACCCAAAGCTCATGACCATAGGTGAGGATTGGGACGAAGATCGACCGGTAAATCGAGAGCCTGGCTTTCTGGCTCAGCTCCCTCTTCACCACGACAGATCGGCTCAGCGTCCGCATCACTGCAGACGCCGAACCAATCCACCTGTCGATCTCTCGATCCCTCCTACCCTCACTCGTGAACAAGACCCCGAGATACTTAAACTCCTCCACTTGAGGTAGGACCTCTCCCCCGACCCGGAGTTGGCAAGCCACCCTTTTCCGGTCGAGAACCATGGTCTCAGATTTGGAGGTGCTGATCCTCATCCCAGCCACTTCACACTCAGCCGTGAACCTACCCAGCAAGAGCTGAAAGTCAGAGCTGGATGAAGCTAGGAGGACCACATCATCCACAAAAAGCAGAGACAAGATTCTCCTGCCACCAAACTCGACACACTCCACACCACGGCTGCACCTAGAAATTCTGTCCATAAAGGTAATGAATAGAGCCGGTGACAAAGGGCAGCCCTGGCGGAGTCCAACCCTCACTGGGAACAGGTCCGACTTACTACCAGCTATGCGGACAAAACTCACGCTCTTCTGTTGTCTGTGATGAAGATGAACAGAACAACACCGCAGCCTCACTGATGAACTCCTTCCTCAGCTCACAGCCCGACCCCAGACATGCAGGTGTCTGGCTGGAACAGGTGAGCATCACAGTGGAGCAAACTGAGCTTGGCTTATTTTGATTTTAGGCACTTTTTCTGCTTCAAAGCACAAAGGTAACAGGCGAGAGCAAAAAACAAGGAATAAAAAGAGTAAATAAATGAAACATAACTAAGTAACAAATACCACTGATGTGTGCTTTATTTAAGGTCCATTTGCTCGTGTGTGATTTCCTTATTCCACATTCAGTGTTTTGGTAAAAATAAGTTTGTTTCCAAATGAAAAGCTTCAACAGTACACATCTGTAGATAAAGGAAAATGTACACATTTGTCTCACTTTTAAAATATATATATTGAGTTTGGCCCGCAACATCGTCCCAGTTTTTCATTTTGGCCCAGTGTGAATTTGAGTTTGACTCCACTGTCCTAGATGGTTACTGCCCTGCATGTTTTAGCTGTTATCCTGATTCAGTGCTTGGACCACCTCATCAGCACCTCAAGTTCTGCAGGAGCCGGCTGACTCAAACCAGCTACGTTGGTACAGGAAACCCCCTGGGACCGTCTAGTTGGATTAAAAAGCCCACAGTCATATAAGAATATTTTGCTACTTTTACAGCATCAGCAGCATCAGTCTCAAAGAAATATCAAATTGGTCCCACAGAAAGTGTGGCACCAAACCTAATTCAAGTGTTGCACTGAATGTGATTAGTTTTGTGATGACAGAACAAAGAGAAGAGTGAGAAAATGGAAGTACTGTGTGCTTTAGACCGGCTGATCCCCCAACCAGTTAAATTTTAGTAAAGTAAATATCAGCTCAGCAGACCATAAAACATTAGTTTTAATTCTCGTCAGCGATAGAGAAGAAGGGTGTTAGTTTTCGTTTGTTTTTCTCTATATCTTACCATGACAGGATGGTGGAGACTTCAAGGATCACTCCTCCTTCTTGACCTTCACATCTCCATCTACAGCCAGGATGGTGGAGATCTCTCCCTGCATGAAAGCCCAAGGCACAGTGGATCCAGCCAGGGGACAGCGCTCCCCACTTGGGCAGTACACCTCCCCACCCTGACCCTGGCTGCGGATGAATCCTCGAGTGCAGGGGAAACAGAACTTGTGGTGTGGGACAGACGGACACTGGACAAAGTGTGTATCTTCCAGACGCTCTCTACAGAGGGTGCAGCAGAGCAGGGCGCTCTGTGTGCTGCTCGTGCTCTCCCCGGTGTTGGTGTTACTACTAGGCCCCATTGTACTCAGACCCTGCCCCATGGCTGCCTGGGAGGCTGAGGTGGAGGCGGTGGAGGGGCTGCTGCTGGTGGAGTGCCCAGCTCCCGAGGAGTGGGCTGCAGACATGCTGGGGCTTTCTCGAGCCATCTGACTAGAGCTCAGGCTGTCTGCAACTCCCATGAGAGCAGAAATGGGTGAAGGCTGGCTGTGTAAACGTGGCAAGCTTTCTTGAGGAGCAGCCATGCCCGGAAGAGGTTCTGTGTAGGCAGCTCGAGGCCAGGGTTCCCTTGATGGATGATCTAGTCTCCCGTCATTCTCTCCATTCTCTGAGCCAGGAGAAGCCTTACGGCGTCTGCTTGTTCCCTTTGCTGGTCCTGGACGCCCAGGAGCTGCCAAAGACAGTACAGGGTCTGGCTGTGGCAGGACCTCTGGGATTGGGGGCTCTTTAAACATGCGTACACCGTCATTCAGCAGCTCAGACAGACCACGCCAGTCTCCTGTGGCTTGTCGTTTTTCGTACTCCACGTATCTTAGCCCAGAGTTCACTGCTTTGCCTGCATCTTTGGCTGAATCCCGGAACATCTGCCTAACAAGGTCTGAGATTCCAGAGAATATGATTCCAGAGCCAGCAGGATATTCCACAAACACCCTCAGCTCAAACTCTGGAGTTGTGCTGGCATCAAAAGCCAGGACGCGACCCAGCAGGTTATGGTCTTTCCTGAAACGCACGTTGAAGGGGATGGAGTTGCTGAGAGACACAAGAACATCCCGGACTGCCTTTGGGTGGTTTGGCCAACCTTCGACCCTGCTGCGGGCCACCTCATTCAGTTCTGCCATCAGTTCACTGTTCCTCCAAACTGCTGGATCTAATCCCACAAGAGCAGAGGTGCTGGCTCCCACGCTCAAAGATACTGCCTGCCTTCTGCCAGCATCACTCATTACAGGGCCAGCTGAAACTGCAATGGACGTGGCCCCGGCTCTGGAGCCCGGTAAGGGAGCTAAAAGCCCGTGAGGAGCTGCTACTAGCCCCTGAGCTATTAAAGCATGAGATATGGAGCCATGCAGACCGGGTATTGAACCAGCGACAGCCCGACGGGTGTTCGGGCTCTGACGGCTCCCCTCAGACAAGGCCACATCTTCAGCTCTGTGCAGACCATTGGGGAGCCGAGAGGACGCCCCATATTCCCCCCTCCCTCTGTCTACACGTTCACCATGCTGCCGACCCACCTCTACGGAACCGACTGAGCTGGGCTTGCCCTGCGGTGGACCCGGAGACCTGCCATCCAGAACACCGTGAGTGCTCTTCAGCTGCCGGGCGGTTTCAATAAGCAGCTCTATCCGGTCCGCGCCGTCGTAGTTGACACATCCCCGGCACACCGCTTCGCTGAACTCCCACAGCATGGCCCACGGCATCTTGGGCAGATCGCAGAGGTAGCACCACTGGCGTCTGGAGGAAGACTGCGAGGCGGAGGACATGTTGTTTACAGGCCCGGAGACCAAACTTTCTTTAGAGGCCTACACGTTACGGTTCGTGTTTCTCGGTTATTCTTCAACCCTCGGACAGTTCGCGTCACATGCCACGACTTATTCAACAGAAACAGAGTAAAAACAACACTGGAACGCGACAAAAGTGTAAACTAACGAGGTTTTCTGTATCTGTTTGTTCGTGTGGTCTGTGTGGGAGGAAGTAAAATGTTATAAGACACCGGAAACACCTACGTGACTCAAGCGCAAAGCCTTGTGGGTACTGGAGTTTAACAGGTACGCAGGCAGTTTTATCTCTCCCCATCTTTTTACTACCGTCATCACACACACACACACACACACACACACACACACACACACACACACACACACACACACACACACACACACACACACACACACACACACACACACACACACACACACACACACCAGATCCCAACTCGCCAAATGTGGGATAAAGGTAAAAAAATTAATGCAAGAAGATAAAGTAAAAAAAATAAATAAACAAATATTCATCCTTTTAGCTCTAATATCACTGTTAAATATACATTAAATTATTATTATTATTTGTATTATTATTATTATCATTATATTTGTATCATTATTATTATTATTATTATTTCTGCCACACTAATATCTGAATGTCATTCCGACTAGTGTGGTCGGATCATGATAAAGAAGGTTGAGTTTCTCAAAACTTTAAATATTCCAATCTCTGTGAAAGATTACTCGATAGTTTTTGATGCAGTTCCACCTGGTTTTATTAGACTATTCCAAAACAAAACCGAATTTACAGCTAACACCAAAAGAATAATGGAATTCACATGCTGGACAGAAAACGTAACAAAACATTTTTCAAACATAAAGTTTATTCACAATGATTCCTAAATGTCAGTTCTTTTGGGAGAATACAATAAATAGTAATAATTGGTCAGTATTGCTGATAAATATATGGTCATCAACAAAATTAAAGAAGTTCCTTTTAAAATAGTTAATCAAATATATCCTATAAAATATTTTATTAAAAAATATAGAAAATAGTTAGTTGACTCTTGTACAGCTTCTGAGACAATTCCACGCCTGTTCTATGATTGTGTATTTGTTAAATATTTTTGCTTTTGGACAGCATTTTAATTTCACTTTATTGACAAGAATATGAACTTACATTCAAGAGATATTATTTTCCTTAAAAATAAAAAATAAATCTTCTTAAATGTCTCCATGTAAACAAGCTTGCAGAAATGTCATATTGGAGACTGAATAAGCCTCTCTAAATAAATGTATCACTTATGTTGTGTGATGTCTGAAGTCTGTTACATTTCTGTCTGAGGTGTTTTTTGCATAGCAAAGCTGCCCTCCCTGTGGAGGGTAACTCTGAAGTGCCTTTTTTTCCTCCACCTGACTCAGTCCTCATATAAACCCTCTGATCTCTATTAAGGTAGTGCGACGGGTTGTGAATGACCACAGTCACCAATTCTTGTCATGTGTCTTGCCTATGTATGTATCTCTGATCTCAGAATTGTGTACTGAAACTCTAATTTCCCTCTGGGATTAATAAAGTATCTTTAAATTGAATTTGAAGCTTATTTATTTTCTGTCCCTCAGTAAGCAGCTATGATCAGCAGCAACAGAGGTGATGGTACCTGCTGGATCAGCGTCACAACCTGGTGGAACATTAAAACCAAGATGAATATCTGTCATATTTACTACCTAAAACTGATGTTTTTAAATACTCCAAGAAGTTAACTTCATCCTGCTGCTCCTCTGAAATGTTAAATACACTGAACAAAAATATAAATGCAACACTTTTGTTTTGGCTCCCATTTATCGTGAGGTGAGTTTTGTCAAAAAAAAAATCAACATCATAAAAATATAAAAAACTAAATCATATTTTGTGTGTTATGTCCAGAGGACTTCTTTTGGGAGTGAATTGTGACGGCTCTAGTCTCACAAATGAGCATAAAAACAGGATTTGTGTACTCTGTATATTTTTGAGTATTGTCAGATATTCAGTAAAACTCAAACTTAGGTCCCTCACACAAAAAAATGCATTTTAGCAAAATGTTTAATAAAAATTACATATTTCAAGTCAAAACTTTTTTTTTTACAGATTCTTTCCTTAGCTTCAGTCCTCACCAAAAATAGTAAAATATTTGAGTGTTTTGAAGATTTAACCCTTTAACACAATGTTTTGTAACAAAATAAATAAAATATTATAACCATGTGTGTTATAAATCAGTGCCCTGCTATTTATAGAAAATTTATGCCGTTTGGTGGAAAAAACAGGAACACAGTTGGAGTGAAATAAAAGAAAATAATTCATGGATATTTAGCTTTGTTTAAAAAATGTCTGAATGGGAGTCAATGGCACTAAAAATGTCTGAGGGACGTCCGTTTTTTGTCTATGCAATGTTTTAAATGGAGTAGGGGGTGAACATTTTATTTTTGATAAACTTCCCCAAGAACACACACCAGAGCAAAACATAAAAAGAATTGCATCAGCACAATCAAAGTTATTGAAAAAAAATGACTGCCTGTGCAAAAAAAAAAAAAAAAAAGCACAAGTGACCTCTAAGGGTTAAAGCACACGTGAACCGCAAAACCTGAGCTCTCATCACAAGTTTTACCGCCATGTTTTGATCTCCTGTCATGCATTTTTGCTGCTGCTGTCCTTTCTAGACTTGTGAGTTTGACACAAACTTTTCAATGGGCCAAGAGCCACCTTGCTGTAATTTTATAGATTTATTTGTTATGTGTGGTCATATAAAAAATTAAAAGTAATTCTAAATTTAGTTCTAAAATTCGAACTTCTTTGGTAAACAAGTGCCTGACACAACAAATACCTGGCTCCAAGTACATCTGTTGAGACCATCAGTTGAGACGTGCTGCGGGTTCCGGAGTTGGTAAGAATTTAAGAGAAAGCACGGCTCAATTTCAAGCTTTATTTGAAGCAGAACAGATTATTACAACAAACACAAGTGGGAAATGTCTGAAAAACTGTGTAGTCCACACGATTATTACGTGTGAGATGTTTAATGAAATTATTCCAACAAAAGTAAAAAGAACAGTATCGGCATCATGAGAAGGAAGCATCAGCTGGACACAGATTTGGTCTAAACACCACTTCCAGTTCTTCTGTTCTATTAGAACAGCATCCACACCAATTTTAGAAGTAGCACTGAATCACTGCTGGCTGTTCACCTAGATGACAACATCTATTTTCATGAGCGGATTTGTTTAACCTTAGTTGTGTTCTTGCTGTGTCGTATCTCTAATTCCATGCTGTAGTTCTTTTTTAAAACACAGAGCAGTTTGGTTACCTGTTTTCCCGCATAGCGGGAAAACAGGTAACCAAACTGCTCTGTGTTTTAAAAAAGAACTACAGCATGGGATTTGTTTAATTATTAAATCATGATATTAGGAACAACAGTCAATGATCAAGTACTCTGACTACTCTCATTTTAACTTGTATTTCAAAGCCAGATACAAGAGGAGAGGTTGTGACGTGAACATACAAAAATAATTGATATAAAAACAGAATTCATGAAAAAGGTTAAATATAAGAAACATTTTCTCACGCACATTATTTCTAGTTTTAGTGAATATACGATCAACAAAATGTGCCAACAGAACTGCAGGTTAAAGACTTCAAACTGAGAGGGCAGTGTTAGTTGGTGTGGTGTGCGGTTGAGAAACACAGCTTGAGTGTGTAAGGATAAGGCCCACCTAGAAGAGAGAGAAAACAGAGAAAGACAAAGCTTTCAATTACCAACCAATCATCTATTTCTATAGCACCTTCCACTACATTCACAGAAGCCTACGGTGTTTTCACTACCACAGTGCATGGTAAAAAGGTTATAAAAACAGCAGATATCATAAGAACAAATAATAAAAATAGAATAAAAGACCCAGGAAGTTAGCCAGGCTGCACAACGCCTCGCTCCAGCAGGACACGCAGTGGCATGAGCGCACCTCCTGGAAGCATACATCACTAAAGCAGACAGCTAACAAAATAAAGCTGAAAAAAATAAATAAATAAGTAAAAAAGTGCCGCCATTAACACTTCTTATTAGAATCAACTGAAGACCCAGCTTATCTTCCTCAGTGAGGAAAGATCTTTTTCAAAACCCTCGCTTTGGCGTCAGACTCTGGCTGCAAGTCTCATTTTTCTGTCTTTAAGCTAAACAGCTGAGCTGTCTGCTGGACATTCAGCCTTCTCATCAAATACGTAAAAAAAACACTAAACTACAGAGAAGTAACTATCTTTCACATCTCTCCAATATCTAAAGTTTTGTCTCACTGTTTACTTCGCTCTGTGACAGCTGATCACGTTAGGGTTGCAAGGATTAACCTGTTTGACTATTAACCACTGTGTGGACAGCTGCGGTTAACCCACTGTAAAGATGTCTCCAACACCGCAAAAAAAAAAAAAAAAAAAAAAAGTGAACCAAAGCAAAAGTGAAACTGAAACGAACGCACCCAGCAGAACCAGCGTCAACAATCACCGGGACTTCTCTGTTTCCACTTAGGAAGCACTTCAAGTCTCCTGTGAGGGAATATTTTAGACTCCCAAAGCTGCTAAAAGAGAAATTCAGAACGATGTCTCATCCATCCACAGAGCTGGCAGAAAAATAAAAGTTGCTACACTCCCAATTTATCATCACTGATATCATCACGCAGACAAATGAGGTCCCAGTGAGTCAGATTACATTAGTGGCTGAACGAATTTAACAGCAATATTAGAACAATCCAGTGAACAACGGTTCATATTGTGCTGTTCTACGTTTCCCCGGTACCCGTCTACAACAAGCCTGTGCGGCAACCCATTTTTCATATTTTATCAACTACACCTCTCTGTAATTCTTGTTCTACATAGCAATAATATAATTTATCCTTGTTCAAATAATATTCTTATTGATGAAATCTGAAAAGATATAAACAAGTATGAATTACATTTAATAGGTAAAATTCATAACAACAACTGCACTAGTAGGAATCTAGCATCTTTATTCATTAAGGTGTCTCCATCCTTCAGTGCTAACCCTGACCAGTTAAACCTTCTTGTCTTTTTATTGAAACACAAAAACGGCTATTAAGCAAATATAATTAAAGGTGTGGTTCACTGAAAAATATTTTTTAATGATTATTTTTGATAATTACTCTGAGTGTTTCATGCAGGCTGAACATGAAAATAGTCTCCTGCTTTAGCTTCTGATAGAAACTAGATGGTGAAACTCTAGGATTAGAAAGGCCTGACAGATCTACGTCACCCTGTCACTTAACATTCATGTACTCACCCATCTTGACTCAGAATGGGGAAGGCTGTTGTTGGTTTAGCGTCCATGAAACAGCAGAGAACATCTCAACTAGTAGAAGCTAACTGTTAACATTAGCAACTCCACTTCACAGCAGAACTTCTCCAGGCTTGTGTTATTTGTGGAGATAATGAGTAGTAGAGAGCATTTTTCTGAGCAAAATCTCTGAAAAGTAATGACAGATAATTCAGGGGTTCTAAACCTTTATAGAATGTAATTATGCCTTTTATCAATAATTTACAGAATGTGTGTGTGATTTATATATATATATGTTAATACATATGCGAAATCAATTCATGTAAATAATCACGGTAATCCTGAAACTGATGATTTCTCACACTATAATCGTACCACCAAAATGTATAATCATTGCAACGCTACATCACGCCTGTGTTGTTTGCAGCTTTTTCTGTCCCTCAGCAACAAAATGCTATTGAACCCATCCTTATTGGTTGAATATGTGATTTTAAACCCAACCCAATACTCAACTGGGAGCCAGTGAAGTTGCACCAATACAGGAGTGACATGCTCCCTCTTCCTAGAACCAGACAAGGATCTCACCACAGAATTCTGGACCAGTTAAAGGTGAGCAATTGCACCCGAGCACACACCAGCATACACAGTCTTACAGTAATCAAGACGTAACAATAAATATAGAAGAGAATAGTCTACCTTTAAACACATTGGTATGTAAAAATACAATAAATGAATAACTCACTAGGGTTTTTAATTTGATGATGGTTCATCATAGCAAGGGCTTCCATGGCATCATTGATGGATTCCCACTCCAGCAGGCCAGATGAACTCCGCTCACCTGTTCAGACAAAATGAGAGAATGATCATTTATGTTTGTTTGTGTAAATGCACTGAAAGCTGAAAACACCATGTCTGATCATCTTGCCATTTTTTTTATCACTTTTTCCATTCATTCATTCACTTTATGGAGAAAAGCAAATTGGCGGGTTCGGTCACATCCGGGACAGCAAGGCTGTAGCAATTATACGTACAGCCACGTGGCACAAAGATGCAAACATCACGCATAGAAGAACAAAAAATAATTTTATTAGTTTACATGCATCTTTTTTCATAGTTGCGAACTCGGACGGTGTGAAAAAGATGACAACTAAATTAACTCCCCTAACGGCCCCCCAATCTGAATTCGAGCTGTGATTTATTGTTGGACTTCTGTGCTAGTCATGGATTGTCCATAATGGCCACCATGTTCAGACATAAAGGTGTCCATATGTGCTCTTGGCACCAGGATACCTTAGGCCGCAGCTTGATGATCAATTTTGTCTTTGATGATCTGCGGCCGCATGTCTTGGACACTCGGGTGAAGGGAGGGGCGGAACTGTCAACTGACCACTACCTGGTGGTGAGTTGGCTCAGATGGTGGGGGAGGATGTTGGTCAGACCTGGCAAGCACAAACGTATTGGGAGAAGCGAGGGACATTGAGTTTGAATGGGCCCTGTTCCGTACCTCCATTGTGGAGGTGGCTGACAGAACTGTGGCTGCAGGTATGGGTGGGCGATATATCGAGAAAAAAATAAAAAAAATTCATATCACGATTTTGTTATTGCAAAATCACAATTTTTTCTATTTTGACCATGCAGACGCTTTGGAAGTTATTTACAATCTCTCTCTCTCTCTCTCTCTCTCTCTCTCTCTCTCTCTCTCTCTCTCTCTCTCTCTCTCTCTCTCTCTCTCTCTCTCTCTCGATTGGACAGAACATCCAGCCAATTATCCAATGACTTAACAGCCTCCCTTTATAATATGGACAACTTCCTAGGAAGGCGAGGCTGGTTCCTTCTGAGAAGCTTGCCATCTTGTTGGGTGTTTAGCTGTGCCTTTTGCTGTAGCTGTGCAGTGGTTTTGCTGTGCTTTGAAAGCTTGTTGTTTAGTCATTTTGAAGTGAACAACTTGGACTTCAGAGCTTGTATTTTGGTTGCTTACTTTTGTCTTCTGGTGGTTCATTATTTTTCTTAAGCTCCGCTCTGTTTGTATCCTGAGCTTTACTTTAAGTTGGCTGAAACCACTTTTCTTTAAGAGCTGAAGGTTACTGCTTACCTGTATTTGATTTGGTAATTGTTGTCCTTTTGTTTAATTTATTCCGTTTGGTTTTTCTGTAAACCTTGAGACTAGGTCCCTCATAATTGTTAATCCTTACTTTATTTTGTAAACCTTACAATAAACCACTGGACCTTCTTTAACCCTTTAACATCTTGGGTTTTATTAAAGTTACTTCCTTTCCCCTGGATGATCGGGGTCGTAACAATCCTCCTCCTCACATATAAAGCTCTTAAAAATCAAGCTCCATCATACATCAGTGACCTGATTGTTCCATATGTTCCTAACAGAGCACTTCGCTCTCAGACTGCAGGTTTACTGGTGGTTCCAACAATATCTAAACTTAGGATGGGAGGCAGATCTTTTAGTTATCAGGCTCCTCTCCTGTGGAACCAACTCCCAGCTTTAGTCCCTGAGGCAGACATCTTGTCTACTTTTAAGAATAGGCTTAAAACATTTTTATTTGATAGGGCCTATGGTTAAAATCGGATGATAGCCTAAATATGGACAAGTGGGGGAGTAGAGGGAGGTGGAGTGTACAGTTGGTAAAGACGGCTCTCCCTTGCCCTGCCTCCAACATGTCTCTATCTAAAAGGCTAAGTTACCCAGAGTTATCTCTGTAGTTATGCTGCTATAGGCTTAAGCTTGGTTTATGCTTGACGCATTCACTTTCCGCGCGGTGATGCGGCTCGCGGCTCGCGGCTGTAACGCGCTTCACAACTCGCAGCGTTTATGGTTTGTGCGGCTCGTCTCTGCGGCGAGCCAATATTCTCCCAAACTGAACGGGGCAGCATGGAGCTCTACGGCATGCATCCAACACTACACCATAGTAGAAGTAGAAATGACTGTTTACAACACGGCATTTCAGCATTTTTAACAGCGTTCTCGTCTTTTCCGACAGTGTGAGCTATTTCTCTCCAAGAATTATTAACAACATGTTGATCACGGTGATCTTTGAGAGCTGAATCATACAAATGTCTGTATTTACGAACCTCTGCCGTACTAGTTCTTGCCGGTCCGCCATGTTTTTTGGCGTCCGACCGTCCGTGTGGTTAGAAATTTTCCGAGGTGCGCGTTGCGGAAATTCTGGGCCGTGCGGAGGCGCGGCGTGGTTGTTAAAATGACGAAAAATGACGGGACTTTTCCGCACAGAGCCGTGCGGACCTCGCGGACGCGTCAAGCATAAACCAACCTTAAGACTGCTGGAGGACATACTGACCACCTTCCACACTCTACTACTTTCTTCTACAATCTGCTCTTTAACTGTGTTATTTCCTGCTATTTCAGCTGTTAACATTACTTTTTCTCTGTTTTTCTCCCCAGAAGAAGCTACAATGATGTTCTGCTGAGCTGTGGTGGCCTCATGGAGGGGGCCATCGTCTTGAACACTGTAGCTAACCATTTAAACATTCTCCCTCTCCTGATCATAACATTTTACTTTCTTTGACATTGAATGTGCTACTACTAGTTTACCCATTTAATTATAGATTCACTAGGATAAATACAATAAAGTTTATCTCTCACCAAATAGAATATTTACTAAGAAATCACAAAGTAACCATAGAAGCATTGGTATATATGTTGTGTAAGCGGATGTGTGGGTGTGCTGGTGTTGGTGTATGCGTGTGTCTGCTCTGTCTTCTCCATCCCCAGTGAGTCATGGTGGATGGCTGCTTATACTGAGCCAGGATCCTCTGGAAGTTTCTTCCTGTTAAAAGGGAGTTTTCTCTCCACTGTTGCTAAATGCTTGCTTAGTATGAGGATTGCTGTAAAATCACTGACACTGGTCAGTGACTTGATGCAATTTGCTGGGTTCCTTACATAGGCTGGGACGTAATTTTGGGGGGGGGGACGGGTGGGACATGTCCCCCCCCACTTTTTCAAAAGGCAGTTTTGGTCCCCTGCACTTTTTTCCGTCCAAAAACAATGTTACGCTCCATTAAATGGATTTGGTTGAGCACTAGGACCGAAACGGAAACCGGTTTACTATTAGACCCGCCCAAAAGCTAATCTATTGGCTCTGCTGATACTTGCTAACGTATTATTGGCTGTTGCTGCTGTCACTCAAGTTGTAAACAGTCAGAACGTGCTCACGTTGTTTTGCTAGTTTGGAGCCGCTAGGGAACACCGGTACTGAGTCACATTGTCAACTAGACGCTGTGTAATATCAGAGCTCAGCTCAGCTTCCATTACATAACATTTGAATAAGTGTTCATTTGTGAGTCTTTGGTAGTTAGGCACAGCCAGGAGGCAGCATGTCAAGAAAACGAAAAGTGGATATAAGAGACTTCTTTCAAAGTCAAAACGTAAGTTGGAACATGTGACACCCCTGCATTAAGCTCAGACTCACCTCCTCCTTCAAAAACATACTCAAAACTAACTTTTACAAACTCATCTCCTCCACATAACTGACTCCTCAGACACAATTTATTCGTATTATTATAATTATTATTTTAATATTATTACTATTATCATCATAATTATTATTACTAGTAGTAGTAGTAGTAGAAGTGTAACTTCAAAACTTTTATCATTAAACTTTATTGTAAACTTATCTATTGCAATGCATATTTTCACATTAAAAAGCTCTGAAAAATGAACAGTATCATCATTGTCAACAGATTTTTTAAGCTTAATGTCATAGATGTACACTTTTCATTAGATTTATCTTATTTTTTCCATTTATTTTTTGTGTGTTGAAATGCAACAACTGTTTAAACACTTTTAAGGGGAAAAACAAATTTAATATGTTTTTATACACTCAAATGTTAGGGTGATGATCATGTGTAAAACATTAGTTCAGCATGTCCTCTAACACAGCAAATGAACAAACGGCCAGATCTCAGGAGGGACCGTTTATGTATAAATAATTTTTATACTTTTGACTAGGCCTGGGAAAGTAACACATTTTGCTGGACGATATTTTGTCCAACAAATTGTTGATGATAAGCGATATCATTGCCAACATTATCTAGACCAAAATAACCACTAATATAATGTTAATATATCATAATAATGCAAGTACACCCTTTAAAATGCAACAAATAAACCTTCATTTAACATTGAAATATCCAGAACCAGAACTTCTAAATGAATAAAAATAACAAACAAAAATTAAATAAAAAAGGAATCTCACTCCCTGTTAGAAAATGTTGCACCAAAAACAATTAAAAAAGACCCAAAACAATAAATACAATGGCCTATCCATTGTCAACAGCCAAAACTGCACTTCAATAATGATAATAAATAAAAATAATAATAGAGTTGTAAATTTTTTTACTTTGATATATTTATATATATATTGAGGATGGAAAAATTATTGAGATGGGCACGTGACGTGTCAAGGGGTCTTTACATAACACCCCCCACCCCAAATCCGCACGAGCCTGCTGTGTCCCCCCCACTTCTGAAATCAAAATTTCGTCCCTGTACATAGGAAACTTTTTTCTGACTGGCTTAATGAACTGACCTGTATTGGAATGTTGACTATGTGAAGTGCCTTAAGACGACTCGTCGTGATTTGGTACTATAGAAATAAATAAACGAATTGAATTGAACAGGCTCAGATCCAGGATGATCCAGCCTGCTTCTCATCCATTCTGGCTTTCACCTAATGTATTTATTTAGAATGCAAGTAAGATTTAACTATATTTGTTAACAAAGCAAACTGATCTTGGGAATTTCTCTGCAGCACTGATTTAAACCTCAGTGTACATGTTAGAGAAAATTACCACAGTTACAGCAAAACACACATTTAATAAATATATAGGCTACACATTGCGGACAGTAAAAACGTAAAGTTGTAAGCATTACAATTATAATGATCACATATTTAAAAAAACACGGGGAAATATGCACTTTATTTGTGACTAGAATCTCAAACCTTGGGATGGACGCGACAGCGTATGATTAGGGAGCCTAAGTCACTTCCGCATCACGGGTCCCCGGAAGAACGAAATAATGAATGCAAGTCAACGGGGCTAAAAACGCTATTTTCTAATCAGCTTTGCCTTACGCCCTGGATCACACATATGTTGTACTGCAATTTAAATGAAAAGTAATGATAGGTGTTTCGAATACACCTGTCACGTACTTTGAGATTTATTAGCTTGTAAAAGTTTGTAATTAGCTTGACTACAAACTAGAAATCGGCATGTCGCATATGTGACGTCACCACATAATCTCCTCTCCACAAACTAGCTGCTACTTACCACATGACCAGATTTATGGTGTTCCCTGGGGGTGATATGTGGATAGCGCATCTTAGTCGTCCCAACCGCAATTTTCAGATTTAATTATTAAACTCATGAGGGATGAGGCTATTTTTAATACATTCATAACGTGAACACCTTTCTAATCCATGTTTCTCCTGAAAACCTTTAGTTTTTGACTAGAGATATGATGAAATAATGATTAAATATTGATGTTTTTGCCATGTTTTATTTAAACAAATTAGAGACTAATATTTGGTTGGTTTCCGGTTAACCGGCTATTAACCGTTAAGGGTGTCAATAAAAGAAATTTTGTAAAGCGTGCATCCCTAATTCACAATATTAATAAGTTTTTAATCGGTATACTTCTTTAAAAAATGAAAGTGAAACTTAAAGGACAATTTGGATGTGTTTTCTTTTAACGCTTTCCTGATTTTTCTACCCCTTTTCTTATAATTTTACTGCTTTGCTAAAAAGCATTTCTTTTTCTTTTATTTTAATGCGTTTCTGAAAAGTATCGGATCGGAACTCGGTATTGACAGATACTCAGAATCAAATGACTCTGAATCGATCTGGAGCAAAAAAACCAGATGGCATCATCCCTACAGTGCAATGTGCCTAACACACGCTACACACAAACACACACAGGCACAGCATAAACCAGTCTGATGTGGGTCCGAATTCTAGGCTAAAAGATCCCTCTTGACATTTATTCACTAGAAAACTGATTACAGATTATAATGATCAGCTGTTTGAGGCAAACACTGACCACACGTGTTTTATTTGGACTCAAGCATGAGTCCATATTAAAACTTAACCAGAACATGACCAGAACTACTCACTCTTTCCAGTAAAAGGTTTTACACTTGTAGGATTCTTTATTCCCAGCTCATCACAAATCTGAAAGAAAGCAATCCAGTTTCAGTAAAAATCGAAGAATGTCATTTTAGGAACAACTGTATTCAGGAAACTCTGACCTGGTAAAAAGCTTCAGCTGAGATATCTGGCTGGGCATTAAAGAAATGCAAAACATTGCTGGGATGTTGGATTCTGTTTTTAGCTGCTTGCTCTGGGGAGGTAAAGCGATTGTTGCGGGATCCATGGAAGTCTTTGAAGCTACTGGTGTTATCCTCTAACTGATAGTACTGTCCTGGCACTATGGCCTGCTGCTTGGACACGCTGTAGAAGAAAATAATAGATGTCTCATTTTCACCTGGACTTTATACTTTATCTTCTGTAGTGCAGGTATCTGTGTTTAGGACTGCTGAGACCAGCTCTTACCAAACATTAAGTTTCTGACCAAAAAGGAAGGTGTTGTTGAGGTGAGTGATGGCCCTGTCCACAGAGTAGCAGTCGCCCATTTCCACCATCGCTGCTCCAGGTTTGCTCTTCATGAACTTGACCTAATCATAGATGAAAGAAGAAAAACAAGGGCAAAAACCAAACATGCTTTTTAGCATTAGGTGAAATGAACAAACAAGAAAACTAGCATAGAACCCAGTTAACTGATAAGACTTTGAGACAATTGTGAAATCATAAATCATCCTGGACTAAACTGTAAACTAAAGAAACTACGTAGGTAGAGAGCATTACAGCTTAACTATAATACCTGCAAACTTGGAAAGTGTGAAAAAGGTGACAAAAAAAGAACCAAAGACGTCACACAGTAATTTATCTATTGACATAAGCACATCACACCATTTTATTTTATTTTCAATAATCAAAATGGTAAAATAAATTAATCAAAATACATACAGACATGGACAAAACTGTTGGCAACCATTGGTCAATGAAGCAAAAACTCACAATGGTCAAAGAAAGGACTTGGATCTGACAAAAGTAATGAATACAAATTCTAAGAAATTTTACCAATGAAAGTGAGACATGATTTTCAAGCATGCATCAACAGATTCATTTTTTAAAAATTAACTAATGGAACGAGCTGGACAAAAATGATGGTACTCCAACTTAATATTTTGTTGAACAAACTTTTTTCTCCACTACAATCAAACGATTCCTGTGACTGTCAACCAGACTTCTGCACCTCTCAGCAGTTATTTACAAAAGACCAAGATTCCTTGCGAACAGAGCATGCGCAGAACACACGCTTTGATGGGGATATCCCGATATGCGTTTACACGACCAAACATTCGGGTTAGAAAAGGGTGTTGTAACCGGGTTTTTAAAAACCCGGTTATGAGCATATCCGGATTTTTGGCTGTGTTTACATGGCTGTGCGGAACCGGGTAATTGTGAATATTCGGGTTTTAAAGGGGTTACTGGCTGCATGTAAACGCACTGACTGACACCTCTGGTGTCCTCTGTTGGCTGTCCTCGATCTGTTCAGCAATTTTGTTCAACAGCATGTTTTGAAAAGCAATTGCATGCTGGTGAAGGTTCTCAATCATCCAGGTCACGGCAATCCAAAGGGGTTTCAGTCTAGGTCACACCCATCTGCATCTAATCAATACAACAATGCCCACACAATAGGGGTTGTATGAACTAGTCGACTTCATGGCTCTGTAGTGACTTTTTATGCCTGTCATCGACTAGTCGCTGTCACGTGATAATGACTGACAAGATGCAGTCCTCGGAAAAGACAGCAGGTGATGAGCCCCTGCGTCGGGAGGCGGAGGCAACGCGCTGTGCCAAAGCGTCGACACCAGCGGTAAAACGGACATTTAACCAAACTGCGACCTTTTCCCACTTGCAATTTTACCTTCCCCTCACCCCCATCCTAATCTTAATCAGTTTGCGCATGCAAAGCTCTGATCGTTGATGCGCTCCAGACATCGGCGTCCTGAGCACCGCCACATCAGGTGTCACCACCTCAAAAACAAATTAAACACGCGATCGTTCATGTAGGCTCATTTCCTTTAATGTTTTCTGTCTGTTATTTGTGCCTGATGCGCTTCGCTGCTGCGGAGCGAGGCACATCACCTGTTTTGTTCTCCGGTGACGCACCCCCAAAATTCCACTATCTCCGCTCCGGCACGAACTCCGCAGCAAAAACGGTCCCGTTGTAGTCGGCTGGCGAGCAGCGGCACTCCGCTGTTTTAGCGGTCGGTAGATCTTTTAGAACTGCAGTTCAAAGGTAACTCATAAGGTGAATATATATGAAGCCAGGTAGCAGTTTTTCTTTAGGATTGAGAGGAGATGCAGGAAGATAATAAACAGAACAGAAAAATAGTCAAATAAAAACAAGTTTGTTTTTGTACCTGCTGGTTGCAACAAACAGACACCATTGAAGAAGTGAGGAACAGAAAATGAAATAATTATTTTAATGTTTAGAGCAGCAGGAAAGGCTGCAGGCGCATCAACGCAGGGGGAGGGGGGAGAGGGCTGAAGTAGGATGCAGAAAGTACAGTTATTAAAAGAGATGTGTTAACTTAGAAAATGTGGGCGCAATTTTAATTGTCAAAAACTCCAGCGAACCTACCGACCCCCCCGACCCCCGCTTCAGGTGTATGACGTCATCAACGACTACTCGAAGTCGACTCGATTTTCATTACTTGACTGTCGACTTTAAAAAAAATTAAGTCATGCAACCCCTACCACACAATAGAGGCTAACGACTCATCAGGGGGTAGGGAGAAGTGGTATTCATAGGTAGTTTCTGCTCATTACAGACAGCTACAGTTTATAAGTTTGACTCTCCCATATTCCAGTCACAATTGACTAAGCTCCTCGGATGACAAGACACATCCCCCACATTGCCTGCTGGTGGTGGTCGGAGGGACTGGCAGCACGTGTGTACTGCAGTTTTGCCTTTGTCATTGTGCCCCAGGGCAGATGGCTATAATGTAGCTCATCTCACGGAAATGCAGGTGGACGCCCCACTTGTAGGTTGGATTACGGACTATTTAACAAGTAGACCACAGCATGTTCGACTGATGAGCTGCCGCTCAGATAACATCCTGAGCAGCACGGGGGCGCCGCAGGGGACAGTCCTATCACCCTTCCTCTTCACCCTTTACACATCTGACTTCAGATACAAGTCTCAGTCTTGCCATCTGCAGAAATTCTCTGATGACTCTGCCATCGTGGGCTGTATCAGGGATGGTCAGGAGGTGGAGTATAGGAGAGTGGTGGACAGCTTTGTTGAGTGGTGTGAGCGAAACCACCTACAAGTTAACATCACAAAGACTAAGGAACTGATTATGGACTTTAGGAAGCAGGCCCCACCTCCTACTCCTGTCACCATAAGAGGGGCTGACGTTGAGATCGTTGAGGACTACCGGTACCTGGGGGTTCACTTGGACTGTAAACTGGACTGGACTAAGAACACCAAGGCTATCTTCAAAAAAGG